GGAGCTCTATCAGGGGAAATCGAGGGGGGAGGGGGAGTGGATCGGTGAGGATTGGGAGGATGGAAACTACGAGGATGGCAACGGCAAGGGAGGATCCTTGGGTGGATCTGGAGAATGCTTCGAGCGACAGCGTTTCCAAGCAAAACGCTCCGAGCCACAATTTCCCCCAGCAGAATGCTCCGAGCCGCAACTCTTCTCAACAAACCCTAATTATGAGCAACGAAACACTAGACGAAGACGACTATCAAGACCTTTACTCTGGGAGTCCTCACAGAGAAGTAGATCAGCACAATGGTGGAGAGAAGGAGAAGGACTCCAGGCTAGGGAAGAGGAACAGGACAGAAGGATCTCTCAGTCCCCCTCAACAAGCCAGCAAGAAGATGACGACCTAAAACCACTTAAGATTATTTACCTGAATGCCAGAAGCCTGACGAATAAACTGAATGATTTACTTATTTTAATAAATGACTCCAATCCTGACTTGATTCTTATTACTGAAACGTGGTGTAATAATGAAATAACTAATGCAATGTTGAATCTCCCTGGATATAATATTGAACCGGAATTAAGAATAGATCGTAATGATACGTTAAACGGTATAGGAGGAGGACTTCTAGTTTACATACGGGATAATCTATTTGTGAAACCAATACCAGTTAGAAACAATTTTAATATGTTTACTAGATTTGAAGTAATTAATTCTGATAGCAAAGACGACAGAAGATCGGATACCAAACCAAATCTTACTGTAACACTGGTATACCGGCCTCCGCGCAGCAGAAACGTAAACACCGAAGAACTTTGTAAACTTTTTGAAAATTCAGGAGAAAATAGTATTATCATAGGTGATTTTAATTTTCCGACAATTAACTGGAACGAGCTGACAGCTGATCGTAATTGTGAGACTTTTTTGCAGAGTACAATAGATAATAACTTTGAACAGTTGATACATTTTCCGACCCATATCAGAGGGAATATTCTAGACTTAGTTTTCACTAACCGACCCGAAAATGTCCTGAATGTAGAGTCCTTGGGGAATTTGTCTACCAGCGACCATTCTATCTTATCTGTAGAAATTGATTTTAGATCTAAATTTAACAGTTCTAACGAATTTATAGAAGACTGGAAAAATGGAGATTTGGATGGATTAAAACAATACTTAGCACGAGTGAACTGGCGTAGAGATCTTCAAACCCTTGACACAAATGATGGGTGGAAGTTTTTTAAAGATAAACTATCATCAGGTATTGATTATTTTATCCCCAAAACTCGACGTCGAAAACCTAATAACCACCAATGGATGACGAAAACAGTTAAAAGACTAGTAAGATTAAAACAACGACAGTATAATTTGTACCAACAAGATAGATCAATAGCAAATTATGATCAATTTAAAAAAACAGAGAAGTTGTGTAAAAGAGCAGTGCGGTCCGCTAAACGCAAGTTTGAACAATCCATAGCCAATAATGGGAACAAACGCCCATTTAACTCCTACATAAAAAGTAAAACCTCTTCTCGCGTAAACATTGGACCTCTTAAAGTTAATGGAGACCTTATTACCGACAACAGTGAAATGGCTTCTGCGTTGAATACTGCCTTCAGCTCAGTTTTTACCGCCGAGGACTCTACTAACATACCTATTTGCCCTGATCCCCCAGTTGGATTTGCTATTTATGGCACCTATTTTGACACTGAGACTGTAAAAAAGAAGATTTTAAAACTGAAATACAGCAATAGTTCAGGACCAGATAAAATTTCTTCAAGATTTTTAATCGATCATGTCGACAGTTTGTCACTCCCACTGTCATTAATATTCACGAAATCCATGCAATCTGGAGTTGTGCCACAAGACTGGCGAGATGCTAACGTGACCCCCATATTCAAGAAGGGATCTAAACACAGCACTGATAACTACAGGCCGGTTTCACTAACATCTATTCCCTGTAAAATAATGGAATCTATTATGAAAGACGAAATGTTGGACTATCTTCTGAGGCACAGTCTACTTAAATCTTCACAACATGGTTTCATGCCGAAAAAATCATGTGCCACCAACCTCCTGGAGTTTCTGGAAAAAATCACTGAATTTTTTGATAATGGCACTCCTGTAGACATTCTGTATCTTGATTTCAGCAAGGCTTTTGATAAAGTTCCGCACAGGAGATTATTGGCTAAGGTGGAAACACTCGGCATCAAAGGTGATTTATTAAAGTGGATAGATTCTTGGTTGACAGGCAGAAAACAGAGAACTGTCCTGAACGGGTGTTTCTCGGAATGGGCGAGTGTAGAAAGCGGCGTTCCCCAGGGATCAGTTTTGGGTCCCCTGCTGTTCATTATCTTCATAAACGATCTTGATGACTTTGTAGAGAATATAAACATAATGCTTAAGTTTGCAGATGATACTAAATTAGGTCATCGTTCGGATTCAATGGAAGATATCAACTGTCTGCAATTAGCCATAAACAAACTGATTGAATGGTCTGAAATTTGGTGCATGAAATTCAACATAGGAAAATGTAAGATTATGCATATTGGGAGGAATAACATCAAAAACGTCTACACTATGGCAGGTCAACCTCTACAGGTAGTAGACAATGAACGTGACATTGGTGTTATCATCAATGACAATCTGAAACCATCATTGCAATGTGCCCATGCGTCTAGAAGAGCATCAGCAGTTCTCACCCAAATCTCTAGAGCATTTATGTACAGGGACAAAAAGGTTTTTCTTCAATTGTACAAACAGTTCGTTAGATGTCACTTGGAATTTGCTATACCTGCATGGTCACCATGGCTAGTTGGTGACATAGAGGTTTTAGAGAGAGTTCAGAAAAGAGCTGTAAACATGATAGTTGGACTAAGGAGCAAAACATATGAAGACAAATTAATTGAACTTGGTCTTACAACCCTTGAGATCCGTAGGAAACGCTATGATTTAGTGCAAACCTTCAAGATTCTCAACGGTTTTGACAAGGTCAACCCGTCAATTTGGTTTCGTACTGTTGATAACCAGCACACTAGACTGACCAGAAATACTTCCTACAATAAGAACCTGATCGCAAGAAGATTTAAGACAGATATTAGACGGAATTTCTTTTCTGTCAGAGTGGTTTCACTTTGGAATAGTTTACCAATTGAAGTCAAGGAGTCCAGGAATGTCACCATTTTCAAAACCAAATTGGAGGAATTAGTCATTTAAACTATCTTTCTGTGCTTATAGGAACTGTGTTACGAAGCATTGAGATGAATAACTTATCGAAAAGTCACGCAGTTTCCAGAGGACACCAAAGACGTTTGCACTATGGACCCAGAGGTCTCCTGCAAACCACCACACAAGTAAACAAGTAAGTAGAATTATAAAATATACTTTAGCTACCTCCCCCGAATTATAAAATATACTTTAGCTACCTCCCCAAATTATTAAACATACTTTAGCTACCTCTACGAATTATAAAATATACTTTAGCTACCTCCCCCGAATTATAAAACATACTTCAGCTACCTCCCCGTATTATTAAACATACTTTAGCTACCTCTCCGAATTATAAAATATACTTTAGCTACCTCCCCCGAATTATAAAACATACTTTAGCTACCTCTACGAATTCTAAAACATACCTTAGCTACCTCCCCGAATTATAAAACATACCTTAGCTACCTCCCCGAATTATAAAACATACCTTAGCTACCTCCCCGAAGAGTTTTGAAAAAGTTTTCTTTTTCTTCCCTTGACCAATCTCAAAATCTGATATACTCGAGAGTATACTTTCTGTATCAGAGTCATACAAGGTTCCTTCATTCATAGATACAGAGGTGGACAGGGTTCCTAAATCAATCAATTAATAAATCAGGCAGAGCCAACAGACCAACCAAGCAAAACAACCTGATAATCATCCAAACAAATCTAAAAACCCAGCATATCGCAAACATCTAACGATTAAACTGCAAAAACCTACCAACAACCAAACAATATCCCCCCGAGAATTAATTTCGACTGTTACCAGTGTACTCTGAGGTTAGGCGCATGATATGAAGAGAGAGTGGGTTGATTGATTGAGGTAGATGCTCCTCAGCAGTTGCTAGATCCATCTCAGTCCCTGTATCCAGGTTCTTAACCTAGATTCAACATTATAATCAGCATTTAAACGGACTGGAAGTGTAATTTAAAGCGATCCTTGACAAATTTGCCTGATTAAATATGAATTAGATATTTAAAATTTTAAAAAGTGACTTGCACATTTCTACTACAGTAAAAACCAATTAAAATTTTCAGAACTAAATACTTTATAACCCAGAAAAACGACAATATCTTCCACATTATTGATCATATGGAGATTTAAAGGGTATCATTGTAAATCGGACATTGTCACTGATTTCTTGATTCCTACAGTTGATCTGTTGTAATATCTTTAGCGGACATCTTTCAGCTGTCAAGTATACCTTTATCTGTTGTAATATCTCTTGGTCTGTTAACTTCTTGCCGCTGTCAGATTTAGTCCTGACGTACATCCCTAGCTGTTTAATAATCCCTCCATCTGATCCCCCCGATCCAATAGATCCTGCTACAGACCTCCTAAACAAAGTTATTTAATTTAGATTTATATAATTTAACTAAAAAACCGGATTAAGTCAGAAACATCTCTAAAAATACCTGTCTGAGCCTCCTGACCCCTTCCCACTCGCCTGCCGACCAACTGAGTGTTGGCCTCCAGAACCTCCGGAATGATAACCTCCAGAGCTTCCGGACTGATGTCCCTCCGTTCTAGAACAAGATTTAGTTTTATGCACAGATGGAAAATCTTCAATATAAATCGTTTTAGCTTTAGTATAACTCTAAGAAAACCAATTAAAATTATAAAAGAAGAAGAAATTTTCCGAAATTTTACACTTGCCAGAAAGTGGGAATCTTGATTATTAGATTTACATATTGTATCCTCTATTTACCTATATCATCCAGAGCCTCCGATTCTATATTTACCTGTATCCTCCGGAGCCTCCAGTTCTATATATACCTGTATCCTCCACAACCTCCTGTTCTATATTTACCTGTATCCTCCAGAGCCTCCAGTTCTAAATTTACCTGTATCCTCCGGAGCCTCCAGTTCTATATTTACCTGTATCCTCCACAGCCTCCTGTTCTATATTTACCTGTATCCTCCAGAGCCTCCTCTTCTATATTTACCTGTATCCTCCAGAGCCTCCTGTTCTATATTTACCTGTATCCTCCAGAGCCTCCAGTTCTATATTTACCTGTATCCTCCAGAGCCTCCAATACTATATTTACCTGTATCCTCCACAGCCTCCTGTTCTGTATTTACCTGTATCCTCCAGAGCCTCCTGTTCTATATTTACCTGTATCCTCCAGAGCCTCCAGTTCTGTAGCTTCTACTCCGTAAACTATCTCGTCTGCCCTCTTCTGGGCTCTTTGATTTTGTCAAGGAACTTCTAAAATAATATATTTTAATTATCAAAAATTAATTTACTATGGGTTTAGAGGTTAGGGCCAATCAAATCAAACTGGAGACTTCCAACCGATCATTTTCAAAACTGATGTGACTTTACTAAATCGGCAGGGCAAGGAATGGATGATCTAACATTTTTCTTATTGCTAATTGCTTACTGAAGATATAACGGACAAAAACTCCCCCCCCCCCTTTGTTAAAAATATTTGTAAAGTAGAATTACCGCCATTTTTGGTTTTGGGAGAAAATAAATAAAATTTTCAGAAAAAAGAATAAAAATTGACTATTTATTTAATTTATTTAATATGGCAACCCTAGAACCACGAACGTCAGCACCTTCCTAGTTAAATGATACAAGGACATGTTTAGGTAAGGTCTGGTATGAAGCTATAAAGCCTCCATGAAAGTTCTGGAACAAATTCCAAATAAACTTTAAACTCTTAATTTTAGTGTTGAAGTTTAAGAATAATTTAGCCAAATATGACATAATTGGAAAATAAAATTTCGGAGGGATAAATATTTCACCTGGTTTCTGTGGAACCCAGAGCTCCAACTCCAGGATCTTGACTAAAGTTAGCAGCACTGCTCCCTACACCGGTATCAGGACTACATCACCATCAATTGAAATAGTCATATAAAGAAATATTATACCATTTAACGTAAAGTCATCATAGTCACGAAAATAGAAAATCGCCGTTAGCATTATTTTTTGCAAAAACTTGAAAAAATTGCAAACATTTTTTCGATTTTAGTAAATCGCTTAAATCTCTGATTAGTTTATCGAATGCACAGTTGTGAATTTGTTGAAGGTGAGTTTAAATTACGTTTACAGTTTTAGAATTGAAGTGACCAAGGAGCAGATTTAAAGATTAGAGATAGTTGAACCACGTGGACTAATTGAACTACTTCTTTTCAGCTTGACCCAGTGCTTTTCATTAAATCTGGTCCCAAGAAAAGGTGAGAAAATAGTCCATCAAAGAAAATGATAATGTCAACATGTTTAATGTTCCTGAAGTCGAGTGTATCTTTAAATAATCTTTCCCGGTCTTCAGCAGTAATACCTCGTGTTCTTTCATCATCCTACAGATAATTAAATAGTTAGATTGTTTAATAATAAATAACAGAAAATAGTTAATATAGATAATTAGAAAATTTTAAAAATAAATAACTAGATAAAAGACTATAGATAATTGGTAATTAAATAATCAGATAAAAGATAATTTAAATCGATAATTAGATAGTATATAATTAGAAAATATAAAATTAGACAGAAGATAATTAGATAACGGATAATAAGATAATATAGAATCAAATTATGAAAAGATGGATAACGGGTGAAGACAAGGTGGACTGGATACTAAAATACTTCTTCTTAAAAAGAAACATAGGTTCCAGTTACATTGCAAATGACTTTTATGGTTAAACGAAACAAAATGATCTTCCGGAAAAATTAACCTAGCAGTGCGCCACTGGAATTGGGGTTTGTCCTAATGGTGAATCTAGTTTACCTGCGGTTTAACTACATATTCCCCACGGCAAGCCAGGTTAATATTCAACCCTGATACACCGTCAAAATCTTTCATAAAGGATCGGCGCAGACCAAGGTTTTTAGGATCCAAGAAGCCGTCCTTTCTGCTGGGGTCCAAACCCGCCGCTCCGTCCTTATTTCCCGGCTCGGAGAATTCTTCCTTTTGAAGGCTGTTCTCTTGGTCTGATTGGGTCCGTTTGTCCTGTACCAATACAATGTTATCACACAAACTCACACTTATGTCAAGATTTAAACAGCTAAAACTGAACAAAGGTAGTAATATCAAAGCTGAGAAGCGTCGTCGTCGAGTTTTTTTTTATCGTTTTTACAGATTGAATTTTATAAAACGTTCAGATCATATCTTAGGAGATAAATCATTTAAACATTTATAATTTACAATATCATAAAAGAATGAACAAAGCAGAATATTATTTCAAGATTTTCTGGTTCTTATGAATATTGAATTTCTTACTACTAAGTTCAGTTTTAGTAATTCAAACTTCAGCACTTGGATTAATAATAAAAAACGATCATGCAGGGATAAAAAAGAGTCACTAACAACATCAATCAGCATTCAGAAAAGATACATCAAATAAAAAATTGAATTTGATCTCTTAATATATTTGAGGTATCTTCTGCGACAAAAAAGTAAGGCACCAAGGCTCAAGTTATCAAATCAATCAGTAATAATATCATAAAAGATTACTTAAATTTGGAAATAAATGAAATATTAATCATAAAATTTGAATAATTTGACATATTCATTGATGAAAACACCCTTAATAATATAGCAATTGTATTAAATAATATTCAACATTTTAATGAAATTAAGAAAATATTCATAAATTAAAACTTTGGTTTGAGGGGTTATTCATCTCTTAAGTAAACAGGGATGTATAATGCTCTCGTTGGAATATTTTCAACCCTGACTATGGGAGCTTGTCGCAAAATAAAAAGGTGTTTTTTTTTATTAAAAAAACTGTAAATAAGAATTGAAATCAAAATGTTTGGAAGACACCGTTCACCTCAGCTATGAAGTAGGTTTTAAAAAGAGACACCTGAGGTTTGTTCAGATTCTAAAAGTAGAATATTTCTTAAAATCTACATTCTAGGTACATACATAGTCTACTTTCAGAATCTTAAAAAAACTCAGGTAACTCTGTTTTTAAAACCTACTTCATAGCTGAGGTGAACGGTGAAGAATGAAGGAAGAAAGTAAGTAGCTACAATACACATTATACACCCCAGAAAGTTATTTTCCCTACTTCAGAATTGGGAGTTGAGTAGAGCAGGGTTTCCTCTAGATCCTTCGTGATAGAGTTAACTGTAGTATTCGGAGAGGGTAGATCAGCTGGGGTACTGGATAGGGTTGAAACCTTACTCAGGGTAGGTATCGCGGGCACTTTACTCAGGATAGTGGATAGGATAGGGAGGGTTGGAAGACGTGGCACGAATACATCGTTTTCAACACTTGTTTCCCTACTCTAAACATCGAAGGGGTTCAACATTTAGGACCAATTGGTTCAAGATTCCGTGTTTATTTTTGCATTAAAACCCCGGCCTCGGCTTTAAAAATTCAAAAAGGGGTTAGCAGCACTAAGGAGTCAAGGAAAAACTTAAAGCCCTAAGCAAAATCATGAAAAATAATAATTAGCATAGACAGATAAACACGTAAATAGAAAACAAAAAAGCGAAGGAGAGAGAATATTGAAAACAACATTCTGAAAACATTCTCCCTTCTTGAAAGAACTAAATCTATCCAACATTAAAATAAGATTAACTCGATAGTTGGGACAGTCCATGCAATGTGAACTACCTGCCGAATAATAGTTTATTCAACGTTGATCAAGATTTAAAGATGATCTAGAATATATCCAAAAAGGTTCCGCTTAACGCATTAAATATTTTAGCTCTTAAACAATTTTAATATATTTTTATTTCGACCATTCATAAATATTTCATTGAAAATTGAAAAAAGTAAAAAGTAATAAGGTTATTCAATCAGTAAAATTTAACCCTTTATTATGGAATAAATGACAAATAATTTTTCTTGATACACATTGTATAGTCGAATCAAATCAAATCATATTAGTAGGCTTAAGGCTCCTAAATGTAGGTTTGAGTTTCAAGTCTTACCCACATCCGGGGTTTTCAGCCCGATCTCTAACGGTCAGGAAATAAAAGTACAAAAATATCCTTTTTTCAATCTTTAAATGTTTAAATAAATTATCTTGAGCACTACTTTATACCACATAGTCAGTTCACAGCGCTAGGACTGGTATTACACATTACACAACATGAAATATCTAAAAACTAGAAATTATTGAAGCTCGATGGAAACTAATTTGATTAGAAGAAATAGAAAAATTAGTAATTGCAGTGAGTAAAGAATCTTGTGAACAACATTTTAAAAGGAAGACATAAAAAAGTCCCCAAATTATCTGGTTTGTAGATATTTATATTCCCACCGATGGATTCAGTCTTAAATAATCTTTAAATTGAGAAATCTCTATAGAGCAGAGAGCATGCAAGGATAAGACTGAAACCTACCAGACCGACAGCTCTTTTCTTTCTCCGGGGCGGAGCCGTTGGTTTGGGGGGAGAGGACGGGTGAGTACTGGATACAATATCAGGGATTAGGTTGGGTAAACCTTCCTCACATCTCACCTGCTCAGGGTACACCTGGAAACAGGAGAAATTAAACCAAACCAAGATTTCTCTGAAAATTTTCTTCGTTCATAAAGATTAAAATTCCTTATTGTTTTTACGCCACAAAAAATCTTGATCAAACAGAAGACGTTTACATTACAAATATGCATCCTGCATTTCCTGTATGCAGTACGTACCCTGGACTCTGGGATTGATGTTAGTTCTATTTTTTCTAGTTCCTTCTCCAGAGATCTAGCCTAGTAACAAATTATTGATATTTAACAGAGCTATAGGCCGCAGCGGTGGTTTTGCGGATTTAAATAAAAATAAAAATTTAAATAATTATAATTTTTTAACTTGACGTACATATTTTTTAAAATGTTTCCAAGCTTGTGTTCTATATTAATTAACTCGTATGTAAATAACCTAATTAAGCTCAATTCAATTATTTAATTATATTTATGGTTAGAATAAAAAGTTTTATGACTTAAAAATTCTAACGAAATCCTTTGCGATAAAAATAAAGAGGAGAAAAACAAGAAAATATACTTAAAAGACAAATATAATAATGTAACGACAAACCTCTAAAACACAGCTCTCTGAGTTGAACCTAACCCTGTGTTCAGGTTCAGGAACGGATGGAGATCTAGGTTCAGGTTCAAGACTCAAGGAGACTCTAGAATCAGGATCCAGACCCAAGGAAGATCTTGCAACGGATTTGGTATCGGATCCTAAACCTGACTGCAGAGATCTGGAGTCAGGTTCCACAACCTGATTATACAATATACAAACATATTATTATCACTATTGTTATTAACAGAAAACCCTGCAATCGGCGAAAAAGGGGTCGGCGCTCCTAGCCGCCGAAACGTATCCATTGGTTCCTTGGCTCCCTAGGGAGGAGAAATTACAACATGCGAGCTGCATAAGACAGCTCGATTTTTATAAGCTCTCTAGGTACCAGGGAGATAATCATTCAGTATCGTCATTAATATTCGAAACTAATAACTACAAGAAAGGAATCGAGTTTTTGCCAATACCTAACCCTTATGTTTTTGCAACCGGATTTCGTAGATCTTAGATATTGCAAACTATGAATTCTGTTGGATCAATTAATGTAAGAAGTAAACATTAAAGGTCTACACCATCAGGTTGCAAACATATAAGGGATTAGAGAGTTTGATTTTGTGGCAAAGACTCAATTCCTTTGCAGATCAGTGAAACAAGATGAAAAAAAAAATTAATTAACATCCTTTGCGGAAACTTTTGAATTAATTTTTTTCTATCAATTAAAACTGTGAAAATCGCTATTTTTAAGCCAATGAAGGACGTCCGAGAAAAGATGAAAGAAATGGCTAAAAATTGATCTAAGATAATCCGTCGAAATTAATCTAGCTGACCTAAATAAACATAAAAACTGGTTTACATTGAAAACTAAGATATTTTACCAAGTGTAATTTTCTAATTACTAATGGGGACCAGAAAGATCATAAATATAACTATATTTACTTCTAATTGAGTTTCTCGTTAAAAATGTGGCACAATTTGTACAAATACTTGTGTTCTCACCTTGAAGGGATGAAGGGACCTAACTCCAGATACATAGATACCCTCTACACTTGACTCCGTACTGTCTGGTTCCTCTCTACTCCCGTCTCGTCCTTCTCTTTCCTCCCTCTCTTCTCTCTCCAGTTCCTCTCTTCGTCTCAGCTTTTCCAACCTTTAAGATCTATTTTAGAAAAAAATTGCTTTGGTTTCCAAGATGAAAATAGTAAGGATTTACAATCCAAATTTGTACCTGCTCCATCTCTGATCCCTACTGGATAACTGATCTCCAGTAAGAATCTCTATCTGAGATTCTACAACTGGAGACCCTGAGGAACCAACGGTTAAGGAAGGAGCGGGAGTTGGCGATGTTAAAGTTGAATTTTTACTCGACTTTCTTCTCGAACCTCCAGAACTCCTGGAGTAGAACATAATCTGTAATCTGTACTGTATCCTCTGTATTCTACCTTGTACTAGAATTACATATTGTATCCTCTGTATCCAACCTTGTACTATAATTACATATTTTATCCTCTGTATTCTACCTTGTACTAGAATTACATATTTTATCCTCTGTATCCTATCTTAAGCTAGAATTACAAATTGTATCCCCTGTATCCTACCTTTTACTAGAATTATATATTGCATCGTCTGTATTCTACCTGGAACTAGAAATATATTTCGTATCCTCTGTATCGTACCTTGTACTAGAATTACATATTGTATCCTCTGTATCCTCAGCATCATAGAAACTATCCGACTCACTGCTCTCATCGTCCGACATATTTACAATCTATTCCTGTTCTTCTCTAGTTCTTAAACCTAGCCTTATTCCCGGCCAAACCATTGCCTCTGAAAAATTACATGAAGAATTTGATAAAATATTGTTCAGTAATTAAATTATAATCGAAGTTCAAATTGGACAGAACACTCAGTTAGAACCGAGATCTCCTAGTTTTGGGTTAGAACAGAGCTCTCCTAATCCTAGGCTAGAACGAAGCTCTTCTAGTCCAACGCCATATCCTCGGGTTCATCATCTTTCTTCTTAGTTTCAGTATCTCCTGCTCCAGCATCCTTCTGTAGAGCCTGTAATAATAATAATAATAATAACAAACAACCTTTTTTCCGTAGAAATCCAGGCCATGTCCTCTTCAAAAATAAGCACCTAAGGACGAAAATAAATTTCCAAACCATACCAAACCAAGCTCATAATTTAGTGTGTACCAACATGGCAGGCGAGATATAGGCTAATACAAACAACAACAACCATATCAAACCATGCTCTTCATTTCCATAAGTTTTAAATCTGTTTGAATCTGAAGATTTGTGAACCAACCTGTACGAAGGAGAGCATATCCCCTTGAGCAGCTGCTGCAGCAGCTAAGTCACCTGGAATCAATTATTTGTTCAACTAACATAAAAATGTTAATTCAAACTTAAATGATACAAAATTGTGCTTGTTCGTTATCTTATCAGTTCTATTTTATTTCTTTATCCATATTTTGTATATATTGACGTCATTCTTGATGGTTTAATTATTTTTATTTTTTTTCTACATCTATACAAATCTTATCATATTTCATCATTTCAGGAAAATTCTGTATTTTTTCTTATACTTTTTGTTCTTCAGATACACCTTTGATTTTAAGATAAAAAGTTTCCTACCTAAACCGAACTCTCTGACCAAAGGACCAAGTTGACCAGACTGCAGTGCCATGCTGAACATCGAGACGGCCTAGTTAAAAATTTAGAGCAAAAACACTTTATTGGAATATTTAAAATGAAGTTTAATGTTGAGCAGATAAATTATGGCGATGAATATACGGATTTTTATAATTAATTTTGGATCCGGATTCTAATCCGAGGCGTTTGAATAGTGAATGAATCCTGATCCTTAGTACAAGGATATTGGATATATATAAATATATATTGGATAAATGGATGAGTAATATAGGGGTGAACCTGTTTAAACTGAGGAGAGAGAACAGTTCCCTTGAGATCCTCAGCAGATACATCCTTTCCTGCAGACTCATCTTTCGGCACAAAATCCTTCACCTTCTCCAAGAACTCAGGGTTAGAGAGAATAGGTTGCAGAGTCTCCAGGGTTAGAGCAGAGGACATATCAACAGCAGGGCCTCCTGCTCCAATTCCTTCACCTCCAGGAGGAACCTAGAGATAGGTAGGGTTCAATCCTCAAGAAAGGTTTGTTCCGTTTTTAAGTTAGAATAGGTTTAGTAATAAAAAGATAAGTTGGCTCAGTCCTTAAAAAGGTTGGTTTTGTCCTAAAGATATATTGGTTAAAACCTCAATTTATAGGTTTCTGAAGTCCTTAAGATAGATTGGTTTAGATCTTACGAGAGGCTGGTTTAATCCTAAGATACTGATAGGTTGGTTTAGTCCTCAGGAAAGGATGGGTTAGTCCTTAAGAAAGGTTAGTTTAGTCATTTAGAAAGGTTGGTTTAGTCCTTAAGATAAGTAGGTTCAGTGGTTAAAATTGTTGGTTAAGGGTAAGAAGTTTCTTGAACAAGAACATCTGATCTCTAAGTCTACTACACACCTGGATGTTTGAAAGGATTGACTGAAGATCTGAAAGCTGAATGTTTGGATTAGCAGCTCCAGCAGCAGGTACAGCTTCAGGAGTAGCAGCTACCGCTGGGGTTTCAACCGGAGTAGGACGAGTTCTACCGGTACCCGCCGCCTGGCGACTTCGTCCTCCGCTGCTCCCAAGGAGGGAGGCGAGTCCTTGCATGTTTCCCCCGCCTGCTCCGCCCAGACTAGTTCCAAACAGCTGCATGAGCTGGGACTGAGACATGTTATTCAGAAGGTTCTGCAGCTCAGAATCTCCGAGATTGTTAAAATCTAATCCTGCAGGGAGTACTCCTCCTAACCCTGCAGCTCCAGACCTGCCACTAAACACAAATATTTGAAATAATCCAAAATTAAAGATTTTTTTTTTTTAATAAGTACCTGCTGAATGATGAAGAACTAGGCAGTTGGTTCAAGGACTCGTTCACCTTCTTACAGAACTCCTCGTCCTTGTCCGTCTTAGGTTCCTGCATCCAGAAGAACATTCTCTTGTTACTCGTCTTAAACTTGAGGACGAACACTCGTCCGGTGGTGCATGCAGGGACTGCGAGGAACTCACAGTCGTCCGGAAAGATGATTAAATCGTCCTCCAGAGTTCCGGTTCCACGATCCTTCCATGTTAGATGCATCAGCTGGTCGTCCGACTGATAGACGGATACAAGACCCTTCCGTTTATCAGGACTCACCTTAACACACGAAGATATAATAAAAATAATCCATCTGTTATAAGATGTTAAAAAGTAAACAAATTAATTGTAAGAAACTATATTTCAACACTAAATATTCAACCGTACAATTATCCTTATTTTGTTGTTGTTGCAATATTAGAGAATTACAAAATATACTCTTCTTAATACATTATTTTTCTCATAGTTGAATGTAAACATAATAAAAATTTTAAATAAAACCTGATGAGAGGCAAAGGTTTGACATAACTGACTTACCATTTTTGTGGATGCATTAAGCGTCATTTTGCCTGCACGAAATTCAACCAAAGACTGAAATATATTTATTTCATTTTACATCAGAAATTTCCGATTTCATCGCCTTCTTGAGACATTTTTAAACAAATATGATAAATATGATGTAGGTTTGTTGGACAATATACACCTTGTATACTGTACAGTGTATTCACTGTTAATTCTAATATGATAAATATGATATAGGTTTGTTGGAAAATATACACCTTGTATACTGTACAGTGTGTTCACTGTTAATTCTAATTAAACACTAAACAGAACTCGAAAAATGTTTTTTACTTATTTTCTATTTAATTCAATTTTTTTTGTTAACCTTAGATGTTGATCTAGTCGTAGCTCCACCAAAAAGAGGACCTCCCACTGCCATTTTATAATTCTGAAACAACATCATTGATTCAAACTTAGGCTCAGGATCTTTTAAGAACAATAGTTGTGCCACGGAACTTAAGTGTTAAATGAGGAATAAAGGAGGGATAACCATGATGGAACCCAACAACCAAACCCATTATCAAGGTTAAGAAAATACGATTGGGAACCACATTAGGAAAAAAATTAATTCATAAATTCTTTTGAATATTTAAATTAAAATATAAAAGTACTGTTGAAGATTTCCGAGGTTCCTTTATTTTTGTAAGGTTTATTCTTAGAGACGATTCCTCATGAATGTATTGTATATATATATATGTATTAGATCACGATTTGAAGGATAAGAACTGAGTCGAAAACTGAGGTGGTTCATTGAGAAGGATTTTTAGGAATTAATTATTAGGCGTGTGGAATTGAGATTAAAAATATAAAAATGCAGAGTAAGAAGGAGGTTGGACGAAGATTTCAGAAAGAAGTTTATATTTGAGGAGTATAAAAGACGGATATTGAGAGGGGGGAGATAGGCATAACTAATTGAATGGAGTGAGACGAACGATCTGCAGAACCAATTTTCTAGTGTAGTATAGAGTAGATGAAGGCCTAGAACTAGTTAGGTTATCCTAGACTGTATCCGGGTAGTTTCCCTCCACCAGAACTAACAGCGCTGTTGGAGGAGGCCAGCCGTTCATCTTCATCATCCTAGGACAAACCATCAATCAATCAACTACTGATTTATTTTAAACTATTTCTATTGCAACTTATAATTGTTGCTCATTCTGTGAGCATCTTCTCTTTGTAAAATATGAAACAATAACAGAAAAGTTCGGGGCCTTTATAACATTTTTTCGGGCATTTTCAAAATTCAACAAAAATCAGAATATTTTGGACACAAATTTTTGTAATTTTAGGCATCTATAAACCTTCCCTGGGGTCATGTGAGGTCTCACACAAAATTTCGGCCTGATCGGTTCAGCCGTTTTAAAGTTTATTGGTAACTAACGGACAGACAAACACACCGACGGGCAAAGTATATATATAAATAATTATTAAATCAATGCAAATTTGCAATGATTCAATAAATTAACAACTCCATAACTACTTCATTAATGATCTTAGACTCTAAGAACAATAGTTAAAATGTTGATCTTTAAAATAAACGATTATTTAAGAATGATTCGGTTACAAAGCTGAGCAACATTGTTAGGGTGGCCCATTTTGCAGGAAATGATGTCTTTTATCACAGGATTTTTTTTGATCTAGGTCAATGGGAAGTGGTCGTGCAAGGCCTTTGCAGGTCGCAAAAAAGTCTACATAGCTGAAAAAAAATATTTCTTGAAATTATCATGTCATATCACGGCCCGCTTATAGATATGATTCTATCTATCTATCTACACTGAACTCGGCCACAGTTTGTTGTTTAGGCTACTGACAAGAATTGTCTGGATAGGTTAAACAAATTGAAGACGACATCTGGGCTAGTCTCCACTCCTTCCTTGTACTTTGACTGCCGTACGCGGCAAGATGTTACACGTGTACTGCACACTTACTTCCCTCTCTCTCTCTCTACCTTACTACTCTCTCTACTACCTCCCCTCATTCCTTCCTCGACCTCTGAACCCGACTCTACTAACAGTCTACATTGAACAAGGATAGTAACTTTCCTCAGTTTGTGTTTAGAGTTTTATTTATTTTATTTCCACAGTTTCAGTTATTAATTTTTCAATCCTTTACCAATTTATTTATTTACGCAGATACAGTTATTATCTCTATCCTTAACCTTGAACGGCTATAATCAACTTGTAACTACAGCATATTTTATTTCTCTGTTTATTCTTTTAATTGTCTATTAGTTTGACTTAAAATTATGAATTGTATCTAATTATGTCTAATGTATATATACAGGGTGTCCCAAAAAACATGGGAATTCAGAGTTTTCTTTTGGTTTAGCTTCTTACTTAAAATAACCTTATACTCATTTGCCCTCTTTACATTTGGCTAATTATTTATATATTTTAGGCTTACTCATTATATTTCCTTTTTACATTAGGCTAATTATTTATTTATTTTAGGCTTACTGATTATATTTCCTTTTGGAATTCCAATTTCAACTTTATTTCAAACAAGTTTAATATGTTTCTTGTTTCATCAATTTTACCTTTGTTTATTACTCAGCTTTAATTTAACATTTTTCTTATGTAACTCAATTTTTTGAGTCAAAAGTAATTTTTTTTTACTTATAATTTCCTCAAATCTAAACCTACTTTAATCATCTACTTATTATCTTACTCCATTATTCCATTCCAGTTTTATATTTCCTTAATTCCCTTTTAACTGCTGCCTTTCTCAGGATTTCCCAAACTCATTTTTAACTCTCCCTATTTTTAGTTATGCCGCCGGCTCGGACAGTTATCCGCAGCGCTGCAGGGTTTTCGGATCCCTCAGACTTATCCCTATCAGTTCTACGGGACCTTTCAGTCAGCTCAATCAATGATTTTGACACTGTTCTTTTAACCGAAGTCAACTGGAACAAAAAGGCTCTCGGATGTCTGTCCGTTTCCCTTTCAGCAGACAACCTCAGAGTGGAGGAGGCCACGTTCCACCTACTAGGCAGCCTCTGGGACCGCAAATCTTTCCACGCAGCCTCAATGTGGACCACAATTAATCCAACGCAGCTGACTATTTCTCTTCCAGATCTTTCCGCGTTCACGTTTCCCCCTGGTTCCCTCTGTTCCAACTACCTCTCTTCCGAAGATTTGGAGTTCGAGTTCTCTCAAGGTGGACAACTGGTTCCCCCTAATCTATACCAAGCGACCAACCTGTCCTCCTTCTGCCTCAGATCTTTTGTACATCCAACTTCAGACTGCTACGCCAAGGTCCAATTCCTCATCTTTCCGTTCCCACTTTCCATTCTAGCCACAAATCCTCTCTACCTAGATGTAAACTTTCCGGGTCTTAAACTAGCAGATTATGAATTCCCACTAGCTCCTGCAGCTCTGTTATCTCCCATCAACGACTCCTGGGGGTTTCCTCTCGCCCCTGCAGTCTTTCCTGGTGCTGATTGGAACGACAGTGCTAGTGTGCCGTCTGGTATCCGACTACGTATAGCCCTGTCTCAGCTTCTCAGGTCTCCAATTCTTCCTGAGGTTAAAGCCAACATTTCAGGCCTCAAACAGCGTTATGCGCAAATACTGGAGAAAGGCTCCAGCACCTTCAAGACTAAGTTTCCTACTCTGATCTGGCCTCCAGCTACTACTATTCCTGCTACAGATCTACCTTCTCAAGGTTGGTAATAATGCTAGCATAATGTTTTTCCTCTTTTTTAATTTCTCAATTAACTTTGATAATTCTTTGCTTAGATTTATATGTTATCTTAATTTTTCCTCCCCCCGGTGGAGTTAGGTTATCTCTATATCAATTTTAGTTTCACCAAGATGAAATCAGATTATTCTTCCCCTGGTAGATTTTTCTCCTCCCCCAGGTGGAGTTACTCCAGCAGTCTAATTTTACTTGTTATTGTAATTTTTATTGACAATTTCTTAGTTCACCGACTGAATATTTTAGAGTTGGATTTCGCTGTCAGAATGTTAATTTCCCCCTAAATTTTCCCTTGGGGAAATTTCCCCTCCCCCTAGTGGAGTCTGAACTCGGCCACAGTACAAATTTTATTTTGGTAATTTTTTCCATGGGCCTACCAGCTGATATAGCAAACCGGACCCTAGATTTGTTGTGTTTATTTTAGGGGCATATGATGTTTTTTTTTAATGTTTCTTTTATACAATTTTTTATTTTTTTTTATTCAAAATATATTTTTTTTTTGTTTACAAAGAATTAATATCTGAAGGAAAGTTCAGGGTCCATAGAGTAGGAAAGTTGTACAGCTGTGTTGATAAACAGTGGGCCCTGTGATGTATGAACATGAGGTACTGCAGTGTTATATCAAGTGAAAATAATAGTACTTGTCAAGATAAAATCTTTTTTTCGTTCCCGAAAAAAGACCTAAGAGTAGTATGGTTTACAAGCCAACTTTCTTCCTGGAATCCGAAAAAATGGAGTGTGATATGCTCAGACCATTTTTCTCCTGATGACCTTAATAGGGTTTCTAAAAGACTACGACCTGGAGCCATACCATCCTCTAACCCCCAGTCATCAGCAATTCAAGGTAATATAATAGATTCGTTGCTGCTACTGTATTCCTGGGGTTCCTAGCTTTCGTTTGATATGCAAAAAGCCATAGTTAAAACATTTTCATTTTTGGAGGTCATTTAGGTCATTAGAGGTCGTTAGAGGTCACTAGAAGGTCAAACACTGGATTTGTTGCTGCTACTGCATTCCTGGGGTTCCTAGCTTTTAATTAATATGCATAAAGCCATAGTTAAAACATTTTCATTTTTGGAGGTCATTAGAGGTCGTCAGAGGTCATTAGAAGGTCAAACACTAGATTTGTTGCTGCTACTGTATTCCTGGGGTTCCCAGCTTTCATTTGATATGCATCAAGCCATAGTTAAAACATTTTCATTTTTGGAGGTCATTTAGGTCGTTAGAGGTCGTAAGAGGTCATTAGAAGGTCAAACACTGGATTTTTTGTTGCTACTGTATTCCCTGGGTCCCTAGCTTTCGTTTGATGTGCATAAAGCCATAGTTGAAATATTTTCTATTTCTGGAGGTCATTAGAGGTCATTAGAGGTCATTAGAGGTCATTAAAATTAAATTTGATTTTATTTTAGGAATTTCGATCACTAATTAGGCGTGCACCCAAAAAATTGGAAGATTTGAACCAAAAATGAAGGCAGGGCCCCCCCCCCCCCTACATCAAATGTGCCAACTCCACCATCCCCTTTTTTTCAAAAATTTTATTGGTTTTAAACTTTTTAGACAATTTCAAAGAAAATGGGTCACCCTAATGATTATCATCATCATAATTATTAATTAAGCTTGAACCAATTTCCTAGAATATTTAAGATTTGTAAAATATTTCACCTTAGTTCCCGCTACTTTCCGAATATACTGACAGCTTAACATAACTTCCTCAGTGAGTTTCTCAACCTAATTGAAAAATAAAATTTAAAACAAAACAAAAAATCCTTGAAAAAGAAAAATTTTATTAACATTACATAAAAATCTAAGCAAAATTTGAAAAAAATATAAGATAAAAAGAGAAAAATGTAAAACTCTGAACAAATCAATAAATTAAGTTAGAATGAAATAAACCTGTTTATCAAGTACTATCGCCTTGGTCACGGTTTCCTCAACCAAGCGTAGCATTTCAGGACTTGAGTAGGATTCAGGGTTCAGATCAAACCTGATAAGGGGAAAATAAATAAAAAAGAAACTAGCTCCTAACAATATTTTAGTCAGATCAAACATCATTTATCTTAACCAGAGCTTCATTAAAATAAATGTAGAGTACTCCGTATTGAATACTTTTCTATAATCTCTATATCTTTGCAACCCAATATAGTAGACCTTTAATATTTCAAACTATCTCAGCTAAAATAATCTAAGTTGGAAATATCAAAGGTTTACACCATCAGGTTAAAAAGATTTAGGGATCAGAAAATTGAGTTTTTGTCATAAACTTCATTTTTTTTGTTATTTTTTTCTTCTTAATCTTGATAATTGTGGAAGACCTACCTAACCATACCGTCCTGTTGGGATATTGTTGCGTGAATGGATCCAGTTTTTATCATTTCAACAATTTCTCTCTCTGCTCTAGCAGGAGTATCCAATCCAACCCTGATATAATTATTTATTAATAAAAACATTATCTTTGATCCTTACAATGCATAATTCATTACAGGGGTCTGTTGTGTATATTTTCGAGAAAAATTATCTTTACTCCACTCCCCTAATGAAAACAATTGTTACACAAAAAGTTAGTTTGTGTGCGCGGAGCGCAAAGATTTCTTAAAGTTTTTTTCTCATCGAATTGGAGAAAATAAAAGATTTAAAGGTAAAATAAATAAAACTTTGGGTAAAAACTCAAAAAGGATAAAATTCTAAAAAACTTGCCTCTAAATGACCAATTTAAAATTTTTTCGCAATAAACCATCATAAATCATTTCTTAAAATTATACACAACTGATTAATTGGTAATAATGATTTAACCTGCTCGCAACGTCGGCCAACGACAGGGTAACGAAAGTTTTGGTTAATCTCTTAATATTAGTTCTTGTCTGAGCCTCAAGAACCTGACGAACTAAACCTAAGTTCTGATCAGTCTCAAACAGATCCTGCAAAACAAAACGCATTCAAAGAAGACGGTAAAGACTTCCATAGAGCTAGGTTTAGTCTTAAATAAAACCCTTCCTGCCATGTTCCAAGCTAACTTTTTTATCAAGAAAATGCTGAATATTTTTAATTATAGTTTGTTGTGAAATATATTGTCCGCTAGTTTTCCAGTCAACACTTTTAGCAGGTGAAAATGTATACTACTTTAAAAAGTTCTACACCCGAAAAAACTCCAAACAAATCACCCAGGAATTTTCTTTGAGGGTTTCATTTATAGGATTAAAATTGCTGCAATGAAAAATTCATATTTCTCATTTTATGCGTTTGAATTATACAACAAGTAAAAAGTTTTAAAAAAATGTAAAAAAGACTAGCCTTATATTTAGTAATAACATTTCTGAGTCCATCTGATGAGCTGAGATGGTATGCTGTAACTACTTCTGTATACGCAGGGCAGAGAGGTTTCAAGAACTTGGGAATAATTGGAGATGTGAACTTGGGTAGAGTAACCACCTCCTTGGATTTATCTCCGTGTACTAGAAGTCCAACTAACTGATACTTCTTGTAGGACTCCAGCATGATGTGTGATACTGCAGCTGTCGGGCAGGTCACGGCTACCTCAAAATAATACAGAGCTTTCTCGTACTCCTTGACAGCCAGGTATATACACCCGCCGTAGTAATAGTACAGGAGAACGTGGGCTGCGTCGAAGCTATCCCCCTCCTTGTTTATCTGTGAGATATCCTGATCAAGAATTGGTAGGATGGGTCCGAAACATGTTGCTTTGAGACAGAGCTTCGCCAGATCTGCGTGAAGAGATGTGAGAACTTTAGGGTTAGGCTGGAGTTTTTTAATAGCAGTGAGAACAAGGGCAATACCACGGATAGGAATATTATTTTTTATCAGATTTGTTGAGAGAATGTGGCACAGATCGGCAAGAATGTGGGGCGAAAACCTAAACAATCTACTTTCAGAAAACAAAACAATTTTACTTTTGAAACAAAATTATTTTACAAATGGAATTCTTACAAAATTCTTATTTAGCTTCAAAACATGAGATATTGTAAATCTTAAGAAATAAATATTTATCATGTAGTTTGGTCTGGTTATCAAAACCAAGAAAAATCAACTACATATATCATAACAACATGTATCAACCTACTTTTATGTGCTCAGAAAATTTAATTAGTGACAAAAAATACAATAAAACGCAAAGAACATTGAGTAAAATGGAATATTTACCTTAGCTGGTCATCACTACTCTCTGTAAGTAAAGTATTTATTCTTGCCAAAATCGAATCCCAGTTCTCTACAGCGTCACCTTGTAATCTAGAAAAGGGTATTTTTCATTTTCAATTCCATTTCAATCCAGTGACATGTAATTTTGTTGAAAAAAAAACCAAATAGATTATCAAGTACAATCTATTTAACTTTTTTCTACTGCTGTAAAAATATGATTTAAGAGGTCGGGATATCTGACCAACCTGGCTATTAAAACAGCTACACAAGCTAAACTATGTTGACTGGGTTCTAAACTCTCATAAATAGAATCAAGTTGTCCGATATTTCCTGCCAGGATCAAGCTCTGAAATAAAAAAAAAGTTTATATTTCGTGGAGACATTAAACTAGCTGGACAATATTTGACTGATAAGCTTGAACATTACAAAAATAATAAAAATTATAAAAATATTCAAATCTTGGGTCCGTCCTAATATACGATTTTTGGACGCCCCCCACCCCACCCCGCCTATCAATTACGTACATGACCAACTAATTTTCAGCAAAAATATTATTATTTATTTTGTATTACTTCAGGGTTAGGTTAGGTTAAGACTATTTTTGGGCCGAGCACTGCAGCAGAAAGGCTATAGGACCGAGCGCAGTGGCTAGGACATGTTAGGGGGCCGGGCGCTGCTTTCACATCACCAATTATAGCCATGTGTTACATGTGAGATGCATGTACAAAATTGATAGGAGGGGAGGAGGGGTCCATAAATCGTATATTAGAAAATAACCCAAATCTTTTTAGGAACTGTATCAAGAAAAACATTGAAACTGACGAAATGAAGTTTTGAAAATAGGTATAAAAAGTGCCTGAAAGTTTTACGTAACCTTAATTAAAGATCTGTAAAAGAAACTTATTAATATTCCAAAATTTATACGATTGTTTATGTATTTATTTAACAGTGTTAGGTTCTATTTTTCGAACATTTAAAAGATTTAATCCCTTTCTCCAGCAAAGTCTCTTGCTCCTAAATCTACATTTTAATTTTTGAAAACTTGGGTAATTTCCTAGTATACGATTTTTGGACCCCCCCCCCCCCTCCTATCAATTTTGTACATGGGTGTGACAGGAAGTTTCTAAACTTAACCTAACCCGTGGCCGCAGCGCTCGGCCCCCTAGCCCATCCTAGCCGCAGCGCTCGGCCCTGAAAGTGTCTTAACTAACCTAACCCGTGGCCGCAGCACTCGGCCCCCTAGCCCATCCTAGCCGCAGCGCTCGGCCCCCTAGCCCATCCTAGCCGCAGCGCTCGGCCCAGAAAGTATCTTAACCTAACCTAACCCTAAATAACAAAAAAATAAATAACAATAAATTTGCTGAAAAATAAATGGTCATGTACAAAATTGATAGGAGGGGGGGGGGGGTCCAAAAAGCGAATACTAGGACAGACCCAAAACTTGTTAATGATTAAACAATAACTCGAGTTACCTGCTTATTTAGAAAGTCACAGAGCTCTGTTAAACTTCTCTGACTTGACAAAGTTTTTACAGTGTTTACAAACTGATCCAGCGCCATTTTACTAATTGGTTCACCACACACTGAAATACATCAAACATTAATGATCTACAAGTTTAAAATCAGTTGATCAATCGCATTATGTACTATTTTGACAAACATATCGCTTGTAGCTTAGAGTCGAAAAAAGAACAAGAACGATTATAGTTGATCAATGGTTATATAAAATTTAAATATAACACGGAGGAAAACACCCATACAAGCTACTTAAATTTAATCATGACTTGAATTATTTTGATGAGGAAATTTCTGAACCTGAATAAGCGCATCTGATGGAAAAATGCCGGTTTGCATAATTTAAAGAGAAGACGATATTTTTCGAGATGATTCATAGAGTGCTATAGCATCAGAACTACGACGTGTACTAGACAAGCATTAATAAAAAAAATTAAATAAAAGCGAAGTGATCAAGCTGGGTTTATAGGTAAGTCCAAATTTAAATTTTTGAACTTTTCCTTGGGGATCCAGTATTCGTAGTCATACCAGCTTAAAGCACAGAAAACTAAAAAGTATTCATTAAACTTCTCTGGTTTCACGTAGTTTCGATGATAAACCATCTAAACAAAATATTACATTGTGCGGCATTTATAAATCTATCTCGCTCGCTGAAAGTTCAAAAATAATTATTTCAATTATATACCCTACTGCGCATCTTTAAGTTTTACATGTCGTTCAATTGTATTATTGGACTTTTTTTTTGAAAACGAGCCAAATAAAGAACACTTTCGTTATATCTTTTTATTGATTAGATGTGTCGAACACAATGGATTTTTAACTGAAACATGAAACGTTTTCATTTTCTGAAACCCTGCACTGGGGCCATATTTATCTATGTCCATGTGTTTCTGGGTATATTCCTAATATATGAAGTAATGTAGAAATAGATTTTTTTGGGCGGGAGGGGGGAGGAGGTCTTTAATGCATTCTTAAGGAAATTACCCACGAACCCTTTAATTGTATCTATAATACCGTATAAGGGGGGGGGGGATATCTTCAAGATCACTGTAGTTTTATGATAAAATACAAACCATGATGATTGCGTTCATATCTTCATGCTTCATTTTGTATTGTTCAGACAATGGAGAACATTTTTATGATAACTGGTGCTACCGATGGTATCGGATTGCACACGGCGTGCAAGGTAGAATTAATTTCAATTTATAAATTATTATACAGACCATCTAATCTTCCCAATTTTAATTTAAGATTTAAGATAAATTCAATTGTTAAAATTAAAGTGATATTTAGCTGGCATCAGTTGCTGATGTATTGATTCTTCATGGTCGGAATCCTGTCCGACTTGAAGCTGCTGTTCGGCAGGTTCAAGCTCAATCTTCTTCTCTCAAGGTTCACACAGTACTTGGAGATCTTAGTTCTATACTAGAAGTTCGGGATATTGCAAGGCAGAATAGAACTTGTTTAACGCACTATGAAAAAAATTTTCTTTTCACGTTTTCCCTTTACTTTTTGGCCACAGTAACCCCAATAGAAACTGCAGGATTATAAAGACGTCTGTTGGATTTAAGTCAAAATTTAAAAAGTTCAATAAACATAAAAGATAGCAATTACACACTGTAAGCTCGCCAATTTTACTGAGTAAATTGATTTTTAAGCTACTAAGGCCTAATTTAAAGAATTTGAGCCGTGGCTTACATTTAAGCCGGGGCTCAAATATGATTGCTTCCTCTTAAAATTGTATTAAATTTTTCAAGATTTAAGCCGGCACTCAATTGAAACCTGTTTTGGGGGTATTTGAGACGTAGCTTAAATTCATTAAATTCGGACACTGGTGAAACTAAAAGTGTTATGACAACATCAAATACACATTGTACTGCTTAAATGTCGCCTTTCTGTTCCTCAGTTTTATGGGTCTCAGTTTAGTTAAAGTGCATAACATTAAATAAGTTTTAATATAGACAAGTTATCAGCCTGGTTCCTTATTTAAATTGTTTGATAAACAATGCAGGCGTGTTCTCCCCTAATTATCAGCTGAGTAAAGACGGCGTTGAACTCACCTTTGCGGTCAACGTTCTGGCTCCGTATCTACTCACTTCTTTGCTCAAGGTTCTAACATCAAGCAATACTAATAATTTTTAGAGCAGTTAAGCCATTTAAGTTACTAATTGAAAAATTTCCCCGCTCAAAGTACAATTGATATATATTCAATAGTTTTCATAAGTTTAAAAACAAAAATATGTTATTTTCGCCATTTCTCCGATTTGTTAAAAAATGCTTTTAACTACTAAATGTTTTAGTTCAAAATAAAAATTCAGTTTGGTTCAGCAAATATTATATGCATAATCTTGCCTGCTTTCGGATAGTTCTTATTTTGGGATGTTTCAGGGATGAAATATTTTTCAATAATTATTTTGACTTAAATTCTTACCTAATTTAGTTTATATAAAATTTTTGTTAAAGAAGAGAATATTTACCCTTGAAAGTTTCTTTAAAACTTAAACTAAATTCTCCTTTAAGGCTTCAAGACAATTGTATTGTTAATTATTCTTAACATAGAGGTTTAATGCAAATTTTAATTTTAATTTATCCTAGGATTTGTTGTTGAAGGCTAAGAATCCTCGTCTGATCAACACAAGGTTAAAAAGTAATAATTATTTTCCTTTTTCCAATTTTTTTCTAACTTTTTGTTTTAGTTCAATATCTCAGAGCTCGTCAGTACCCGGAGAATACCAGCTTCATGAAAGGTAGATCAGGGGACTGACTGAAGGCCTTATTTTAAGTAAAACTACATTCAAAGAGCACATCATCCAGACAGAACAAACACTAGGCCGAGAGAATATCAGAAATATATGACGACGACATTTACACATTGATTTTCTTTATTATTCCTGCGAGGTGGGGTAAGCATTACAGTTAAACTATGCGAGGTGGGGAAACCATTTTTATTAAGAGCCACTTTTAAGAAAATAAAAATAATTGATTCAGAGAATATAAATAAATAACAAATATTTTAGAACAAAATTTAGTTATAGTTTATAAATTATAACAATTTAAATGCCCTTAGATTTTTGAACTGAAGAGTTCCTATATTATATATATTAGATAATATGAAAACAAAAAAGGCCAAATATACACATTAAGTAGTTTTTGTTGTACTGAAGATTTTTAATATCACAATTTCCTTACCAATCATAATGGAAACATTAAATAAATTATAGATTTTATTGAGTCTAATAAATAAAAAATAATAATTTTATCTTACTGTTTGTATCTAATAACTGTCAATACGGTTGAACCGATTGGACCCAACTTTTGTGTGGGACCTTACATGGCCCTAGGGAAGGTTTATGAATGAACAAAATTAAAAAATTTGCCTCCATCAAAATTCGATTTTCATTAAATTTTTTTAAATTTTGAAAATCCACGAAACTTTTTGTTTAAATCCGCGAACTTTTTTTGTTTTGTTGTACAATGTACACAAAGAGAACATGTTCACAATTAGAATAGAAGATGGGCGCGAAGCGCCCTAAAAGCCTATTATATATTAGTCACAAGGAATAACAAGAAACTAATTGCATGTTAAATGTACATATAGTACAACTATACTGATGGTAAAAGTAAACAAAATAGAATTTTGTAAACATTTACGTTATAAAATGACACAAATTTGTATTGCAAGGGGTAGTAATGTATCTTAATTTACAAATATGTATCCTCTTGGCTTCACTGGACTTATAGAATGTCGTCTTCTAAATATATTCGAGCCTGGTGTTTGTCCAGTCTAGATTATGTGAGAGTGGCATGCCCGATTTAAAATAATACCTTTAAAACCTATATCTGAACCATGAGAAAGATTTTTTTTAATCGTAAACTCTCACAAACTCTGAAAAATTATTGTTGTGAATTGGACCAGCCAATCAGGAAGGTTCCCTTGAAATTATTCACACATTCCCATTTTAATAAACTTTTTTTTATCAACTAAGAAGTTTTTCATCAATAAGGCCGAGTATTTACAATCCTTGAACAGAACGAAATCCTTCTTTATCATTTCTTGAATAAATGCAAAGTTTATTCTTTTCAGCAACTATTCCAAGTATGAAGCATACGCTCAAAGCAAGCTATTTGATGTGATGCTAACTATGGGACAGGTAATTTAAAGCATTTATTTAACACAGGTTTTGTTAGATCCAATATTTGGGATGGGTTGTCTTTTTACGTTTTTGGGCATTTTGTTGGCTATAAGACCCAAAACATCAAACAAAAAGGTTGGTTAATCTTGACCCCTTTCATGTATTTAATTAATATGATTGAGATGTCCTTGTTATTCTTGACCCTGGTATGACACAAACATGTTTTGTTCAAAGCTGTTAATTTTCTTGTGTTGATGTATGTTGGTGTATCCTTGGATCTTGGTACAGTGAATACTAAAATGTTGTGTTCTATGCTGTTAATTTACCAGATCGTGTTGTTGTATCCCTGGATTCTGGTACAGTTAACACCAAAATGTTGTGTTCTAGGCTGTTGATTTACCAGATGTTATTGTTGTATCCCTGGATTCTGGTACAGTGAACACCAAAATGTTGTGTTCTAGGCTGTTGATTTACCAGATCGTGTTGTTGTATTCCTGGATCCTGGTACAGTAAACACTAAAATGTTGTGTTCTAGGCTGTTAATTTACCAGATCGTGTTGTTGTATCCCTGGATTCTGGTACAGTGAACACCAAAATGTTGTGTTCTAGGCTGTTGATTTACCAGATGTTGTTGTATCCCTGGATCCTGGTACAGTAAACACCAAAATGTTGTGTTCTAGGCTGTTGATTTACCAGATGTTATTGTTGTATTCCTGGATCCTGGTACAGTAAACACTAAAATGTTGTGTTCTAGGCTGTTGATTTACCAGATGTTGTTGTTGTATCCCTGGATCCTGGTACAGTTAACACTAAGATGTTGTTGGCTGGGTGGGGGGAATGTGGGATTCCAGTATCTCAGGCTGATGACACTTATTGGCTTGCTACTACACAGGCAAGTATCTTTTTCTTTCTTATTGACTATAAAGTAATCACTACTCATTGGTGCAGCTTAATCTAAATATTTTCCACATGATTTTTATATATTTGAAATTTTGTAGACTTCTTGTACTTTTTAAAGATATAATAATTTATTCTTGAAAAGATATATTCTGACTGTGTCGCGTCTATATTCAAAAACCTTTTCTGAAACTATTTAAAGTTAAAGTTAAAACGATTTAATTTAAACTTTGCACAACCTTTTCCTGAACGCACTTTTAAATGGAACTCCATCCTTCACAATTTAATGACAAGTTTTACGTTTCTAATTTGATTATAGGAAGTTGATCTGAGTAATTCAGGGGATTATTTCAATAATAGAATTCCCAGGAAGAAGCATCCAGTGTCTAGGAACCATATTCTGGAACTTTTTCAATATTTGGATAATATAATCCAGGAAAAATCATAGGAAAAGTTGCTCAAACTTCCCAAGCTTTAAGTGGAAACAGTAAATTTTATTAATAACATGTTACATATGTTAATAATATATGAAAATATCATGTTGTATTAAGACTTTGTGTTAAACATGAGGGTGTACAGAAGGGTCGATGGCAGACCGCCATGGGCTTGTCTGCCACCTCTGAATTTACACCCTGCTCATAACTGGGTTGATTCATTGGAACTTAAACCGAGGGAGCTCAAGCCTACAACCTAGATTGAAGGTTTGACAGCGATTATTATTATTATTATATTCCTGATCAAAAACATACAGTTAAACATTAAATTTAACGGAACTGTTAATTTTCAGATGCAATGATTTAAAAAATGTGTACAAGGGCGGAGGGCCTATGTCCTGAATGGGCGAATGAGCAAAGAATGAACGTGCTCTTCGCCCCTCTTCGAGACAAAGAGTTAAATCCAGAATCTTGGAATTCAAAAGTTAGGTTTTGGATAAATTTGACGGAAAAATGGAGTCGAGCTAATTCTTCCCCTCTGCTTGATATTGGGTAGGAAATACATACTAGTTTTGCTATAACATGGTTTCATCTAAGGTGTATTTCTTTCTCCATAAAATCTGGGAAAAATAGGTTCTTAGTTTAAAAATTTCTCAAAAAAAGTATCTTAGTCTATCTGCCAAAAATATTATCTTAGTCTAAAAAATCTGTCCCAAATAAAATCTTAGTCCATAACATCTGCCAAAAATAGTATTTTAGTCACCATAAAAAGAAGTCTTTCACCTGCAACAAAATCTTTAGATTAACCTATGTACTAAATTTTAACATTAAACTTAAACCCAATAATATTTTAGGCTACTAAAGAAAGAATTTGCAAGGAACGGAAAAACTCCACATTGTCTCTCTGAGGTTCTAGTTGAAGGAGTAAAGTCCGGGTTATTAAGTACTCCAGAGAATCATCTACAGGCTTTAAAAACCCGAAACCAGACCTGGGGTTCCTGGGTTCTTGGTCTAGGTACAAGTGCAGTTAAAGCAGTAGGAACGAAGGTTCTTGGTTCTAGTTTAAATACAGTGATAGTTCCAAGTGTGGTGGAACAGTTAAAAACAGAGATTCTTGTAAAACTAGCAGAGTGTGATCGTTTTATTCCATCTCATCGGTCTAGTTTTATTACTGAAGCACAGCTTCGAACCCACCTTGAAACAGTCATAACTCAGGAATCTTCTCGAGACTTTATTCTCCAGGTTCTACTTGAGGAGAGAAAAATCTCCAAACTAAACCTTGACAAACTAACAGTTTACAAACTAGCCGTGGCTGACGAACCTGTCGATGTGGATGAAGTTGACAAGGGATTACTCCACTTAAAAATTAACCTGGATCATCTCAGCAATGAAATCCCTAACCTTGAGACAAAAATTGCTGCTGAAGAAGCAAGTGTCCGGTCAAGTTTAAAGTCAGGAGCAAGAACTAAAGCAAAGGTTTGTTTAAAGCGTAAAAAGCGTCTTGACGCAAAACTAGAGCAGCTTCATTCGCAGCAGCTAAATTTAGAACATATTTATGAAGAACTGTTGACAGCTGAGACAAATAAGAAGATAATGATAGCTTATAACTCAGGTTCCTTTTATAATTTTAAAACTAAATTCCCTATACAAAATAATTATTGTGAAATATACTAATAAACAGTAGTTTTTTTACTTGTAAATATTGATAGGTTTAGCAGCAATGAAGAGCATGGTTGATGTTTCACTACTGGACGAAGCGGAGTCTACAATAAGTGATTTGGCAGAGCTACTCGATATAAACTCACAAATAGGAGATACATTAGTCATGGTAAAAAAACCAATCGACATAAATTTACAGATAGGAGATAAATTAGTCATGGTAAATAAACTAATCGATATAAATTCACAGACCTGAGATACATAAGTCATAGAAAATAAGCACCTAATATAAACTCGCAGATAGGAGATACATTAGTCAATAGTCATGTTAAATAAACTAATCGATATAAACTCACAGATAGGAGTTAAGTTAGTTATGATAAATAAACTATTCAATATAAGCTCTCTGGTCGAAGAAACACGATTTCTTACAGATACAACGATTCCTAGTCCGAGCAACATTCTCCGCACTTTCTCGTCCGAGCCACCTCGAAATCCTCGTCCTTGCAAAAATATTTTTTTAAGTGTCCAATCCTTGAAGATAAGAATTTTTGTTGAAAATCTGTCCACGTTAGGGAATAAATGAATTATTGAATTTCACTAATAAATTTTAAATTTGTGAAAAAACGATGTTCTTCAAATAAACATCTGTCTACAGTAGCCCTTTTTCAAATGATTTAAATAATTTAAATTAAACATTGCTTTCTCCTTGGATATAATCGTGTGACAGGCAGAAGTGATCTTGGTACGAGAACAAAGATTTGCCTTATTTGTAAATATATCAGAAATCATTGATTTTTCATATGGAAAGATTATAGACCATGTTCAAGTTAATACTTTGACATAATTTTTGAATTATGAAAGTTAGCCATTTTGGAGGCAAAGGAGGTTTAAATTTTAACCTAAATAAAGCTTGACATCATTCTCATGGATTTAAAGATTCCAACATCACTATACAATCATTGCAAAACTTTAGTTTAACCATGTTTTATGCCCTAATGTGGCCAGATTTTCAAATAATATTATCATCTTCAAGGATTGGACACATGAAAAAAATATTTTTGAAAGGACGAGGATTTCAAGGTGGCTCTTGAGACGGAGACACCTTGTATTTTATATGGGCTACTCAATATTTTATATTTTTATTTAATTATATTTTAACAATGATAAATTTTAATTATTTTTGAAATAGTGTGATAAATATTATTTTAGAATGAACCCGACCTAGACGATCTTGAAAGAGAACTTGAAGAGCTGGGACGAGACGTTGTGGACAATCCATCATTTGACAAGGACAAGGAAACCAGGAAGGAAGAAATTGACAAGATCGGAGAGAATGATTTTGACTCCGTCCTTCAAAATCTAGAGAAATTAGAGTTTGATTTAGATCCTGTCATTGGAAGAAAAAAAGCTGAAAGATTTGAACAAGCATTATAGCAAGGCGCTTTAACAAATTATAGACTTATTAAAGAGATAAGTTAATTATCTTAAATCATAATTTTTATTTTGCTTTTAAGAAAGTGAGCCATGAAAACAATATTGTTTAATGTTAAAACACTATATTAACCTCATGACATTTATTTATCCAGATTTATATGTATATTTAGAAAAAATTGTATTTTTAATTATTCAGTATTTATTATTCCGTTTTAATTCCTTGTTTCCTTTTAATGTATTAGACATTGGCAATTGACATTATTATCAATGTACACATTATTGGTGAAACTATTACCAAATACCATATTATTTACATATTTCTACTCAATAACATCTGAATTCATATTTCAGATAGAATGCCGAAAGCAAAATTTAAACGGAAAGGGGTTCCGGAACTTTCAGTTCAGAGTAAAAAATCCAAATATTCGGAAATCACAAACCTTGATTCCTCCCTCACAGAAAAAACTTTAGAAATTCCTGAGGATGTTGCGGGGTTTCCAGTTTCTCTAGGTATTCCTTGCAGCACACCAGTCTCCGAAGTACCAGGAGCAACATCCTACCGAACCCTTTTGGATCTCCCTGAGGAATTGATCTGCCTAATCCTGGTTAGATTACCTGTATCATCTATATCTAACCTGGAGATAACCTGCAAACATCTACAGCGAGTTCTAGTCAATGCCAGGTAATTCCACACGCTACAGGAGATGAAAAATATGATTTTTCCGAATCTATTCCTTAAATTATCCCCCCCCCCTGTCCCATCATTGAAAATTTTTCGACAATTATTAAACGCTCCGCATAAATAATTTAATGTCAACTCAAAATATTCATTTTAAAACTTTGCGTCTCTGTTAAAGGATCTGGAGAAAGATACTTTTACACAAACTTGAGTTTGAACCCGGACTCCGTAAACTCCTTCCTCCCAGCTATTCAACTAAAATGGAGAATAGACTAGACTTAGATCATAAAAGGTAAGAGATATGGTCATCAAGTACATTAAGAATGTTTCTTTTTTAGTACAATGAAGCTTTAAAAAAATAATTATTGTTTTTGAAAAATAGTTGATTTTTCCCTAGTTGCAAGAAACTGTTGGAAAACCTGAAACTGAGGGTGGACTATGCCTGGCTGAACACTAACGCCCCAACAGTTATCAGGTCTGACAAGGTATTCGGGCAAACCTTGGAGAACCACGTTCTTTGCCAGATCATGACCTCGGGCAGATATTTCGCCGCCTTCTACGGAACCATCTGCAAGAGCAAGGAGAATTATGAGATTGATATTATTGATATATTTGACCGGAGCAGCAGGAGGCGGGTGCGCCGGTTAGACAGTATGCCGGCTAAACCTGATATATTGAGGATAGTTGAGGAGCTGGGTGTATTCCTTCTCTCTTACCCAGGACTACTCAGTCTAGAGATTGTAAGTATCCTTTTTTCATTCGATGAATTTTCACTTTATCTATGTTGCCTATAGCCGGCCAAACGGCTGGACCGATTGGGCTAAAATTTTTTGTAGGCACTCATGGGTGGCCGGGGGGTGTTACAGGCTAAAAAAATTTGAACTTTTTAAAAAATTTTTAAAGAATTTTTTTCAACATTTTTTTTCCACGGGCAACGCCGGGCTGTTCAGCTAGTATTTACTTAAACGATTTATGAGCATTGATTAACATCTTTCGTCCCATCTCTCAAACACTTTTCTGCAAATCAGATAAAATAGCAAAAACAAATTATAAGTACATACTAAATAGGGGGAAAATAATAAACTTTTTTGTAAAGCAATATATACTTCAAGAGCGAAACCTCCATCAAAACCTCAAACATTGTTAGTTTGAATAAAATGCTGTTCATATCAAAAACAATTATTAGATTAAATTATTTTGAAATTGTGATTATTTAGAATCGGTTAGGTCAGGAAGAATCCAAGTTTCTAGTTCTGTGTAAACCCGGAGAAACTGAATCTGGGAGTGTTTGTGATATTGTAGTTCGAGATTATATAACTATCCGGTAATTTTCAAAAATATATATTATATAGCCCTGTTTAAAGTACCAAACAGCAGAAATTAAAGGCATTTTTAACCCAAACATGTAAGACATTATATCTGAATATCTACGCAAATATTTAAGAATATCGGAAATTTTATCTTTAAATTTCATTTGTAATGTCTAGCTATTTAATCTCTTAACATCTTAAATATAGACTATCTATAAAAATATCTCAAAATTTCTATCCTAACAGCTTTTAATATTGAAGCTAATATCTTAATATATCTAAATTATTTTACTATTCTAAATGTATTATTTACAGGGGTGTTTTACACAGACGAGCAATAATGGTTGCCATGAACACCGAACCCTTGGGAAACCCTCATTATCATATCGGAGAACTACAGTTCTACTCTCTGTCGGAGCAGGGAGAGGTTGGGTCTACTCCGCTCTGCAGTCTCCGGTTCAATCCGGTTCCAATCAAGGAGGGAAGGTTCTTCAATCAGTGCATTCAAAAGAAAGGTAGTTTGTGAATTTGATTTTTTTTTCAAAATCATCTGAAAATCATAATTTATCATTTGGTAACAAAACAGTTTTAAGTGATCTTCGATATTTTTAGATTTTTTTTAGGAAAATCTTTTTATGTTTTAGGCCTGTCTGACTTTAACGACGACCATGCTGTAGTGGTTGTAGGAGGCTGTGAGGGGAGTGCTGTTCTAGGTGTAGTAAATCTTCAGGTAAAGGTCAAATAAAATCGATAAATTGAAAATTTGTAATTTAGAAGAAAACATTCGATTTAATGTCCAAGATTCTTTACTTCATTTACAAATTTACAATTTTTGTTCTTATTTACATCAAGACCACTATGAACTGTGGCTTATCTTGATCTAAATTCAAAACTTTCAGGGATAATAGCTTTTAAGTCCTCATTGATTAAACAAATTTAAAATTTCTGCAACTATATTAAAGAGGAAAAAGAAGCAGGCCTTATTTTATAAAGCTGATAGGATGCATGTTATTTAATTGATTCCCCTGTATCTAGGAGGAAAGGTTGGTTCATAAGCTCCAACTGAAGAGCCCAGGTAGAGTAGGAGGTGGAGCTGGTGGTTGTGAAGGTGGACTCTGTCAGTACAGTGTTGTCAGTTTAATGATAGATCGGATACACACGGATACATGCTCTATACTACTCTCTACAGGACAGCTTATAGTTATCCATCTAGTCAGTGGAACTACAATCTTTCACAGGTTTTACTCTAGAATGATCCTAATATTTTTCTGACATTACATACCATGACATGAGATGACATGACATGCAATAACATAGGATAACACGCAAAGATGTCTATGTCCGATTCACAAGAGTATCTTTAATGCTTACAAGCTTTGTGTCATCAAGTATTAATTAGATATCATAGTTTATGTTCTGTTCACGTAATTTTTTCCACTGTGGTTCTCTCCTCAAAAGTGACTTGCGCATTTCTACTACAGGAAAACAACGGGAAATATCTGATTAAATACTTTGAAACTTAGAAAACGACTATATCTTCCATCAGTGGCGGACATAAGGGNTAGGGGGGGATAAAAAAATTTCTAGGGGGGCTAAAAAAAATTTGGCGCGCTTTGCGGGCCAAATTAAAAATATTCCCCCCCCCTACAGAATCCTTATGTCCGCCCCTATCTTCCATATTATTGATCAGATAAAGGTTTCAAGGGTACCATTGTAAATCGGACATCGCCATCTTTGCAAAGAGGGTCACTTGAAATTACGCTTACAGTCACTTAAACCGCTAAAATAAATGGCTGATTGTTAATTAATTGTTTTTGTAGACATCTTCAGTTTGACGGTCAGCTTAAACTAGCCTTGCATCAGCCTGGCCTCCTTGGTAAACAGAGAATAGGAATCAAATTCAGAAATTATGTTACTTTCTACGATCTCATTCTTTCAGCAAGGTAATTTCTCTCTCCTTTTGTAAATATGTAAGTAATTGTGATTTGTTTTGATTTGTTAATACTAGGTATAGGTACTTTTTTTTATAGGCATATGTACTTTCTCATATGTATAGGTACTTTTTCATGGGCATATGTACTTTTTCATAGGCATAGGTTCTTTCCTATAGGCAAAGGTACTTTTTGATAGGCAACGTTATACTTCCTCTTAGACAAAGGTACTTTTTCATAGACATAGGTTCTTTTTGTGTTGGTGGCGATTGAAATTTTAGTTTCTGTTATTTCTTTCTCATTTTGTACCTCCATGTTTCTTTATGTTCTTCTCATAATGTTTTTTTAATCCAGGAGTAGTGAAATAGATCTGAAACATATTCGAACACTGAGGATCACGAGTATAGACGCGGACGGACGAGAGACAAGGTTGGATGATAATCCATCCCAGGAGCTGAGAAGACAGTTTGGAGAACTACAGAAGAGAGTTAGAGCTCTAAACCAGTACACCAGGTTCAATCAGTACTAATTAACTTAATTCAGTAGTAAACAAATATGTTTTTGCGTTCAGAGGAAATAGATAAAATAAAAAATAAATTTGCTATTTAACGCCAATTTTTCAGTTATTTCCCTCTTCTAGGATAGTACAGTGATATTCTTACTAACCTGGAATAATATAAATTCATTGATTACTTCAAAGTCTTCTTTGAATTATCTTGCGTCATTCATTATAGGTATCCTGATTTTAGCAATTATCGTTAATAAAAAAAAAAAATAACAGCCCTAATCTTGTCATTTCCAAAGTGGGGTCTGCCCTTTTTTTGCTCTCACAAATCTCATAGATATTAGGAATTTTTTGAATCTCAATTTATTAAATAAAACCATGACACATTCTGAACGAAATCATTCATATCATAAAAGCACACAAATGGCAGACCACATTTTGGAAATCGCATGACTTTTCTGATATTATTTTTTCATGAAAAAATATTGCTAAATTCAGGTTACCATTGTTTAAAGCCTCAAACTATTTCTGAAGTCAAAGGCACCTTTAAAGTCATCAATAAAATTACTCTATTCCAGTATATTTAGAATATCACTGTAAGTCAATGTCAATAGTTTCTTTTTCATAAATAGTTTTTGTTTTTGTTCCATTCTTATTTCATTTTTAACCCCAAACACAATCTCCTTTATTTTAGCGGAATTCAGAAGAAGCTGGATAAAGGTCTGCGTCCTGGTACAGTGACGCAGGGCGTACACTCTATGACGCAAAAGGTTCATCTCGTAACCAGTAAGCTAGACCAGGCCCACGGGAAAGCCAGGGAGATTGAGGCGGTTGTAATCGCAAGCATAGCTTTCGATAACCGGTTTTGCCACGCTCTAACTCTTAACAGGTTAATTATTACATTATTTTTAAAGATTTTTTTATTTTGCCGAATTTGTTTCTAGTCAAATTTTAAATTTAGGGATCTTGTATCTTTCGATTTGGAAGGCACCATGAACGTATCAGAAAATGGTAGTAAACTTAAGGATTTGAAAGGAAAACATAATAAAAGTTTGGACGACGATGCACCAAGCCGGAGTACACGGAAAACGCGAGAAAAAGACGAAGAACCGGTTCCTGGATCCTCCAGGCAGAACCGTAGGAGATAATCTTCACTCTCTGAATCCCTGGATCCGTAGCACAATTCAACATAAAATAAAATTTTTAAATCAGAAATTAAATTGAGTGTATTGACTCATGATCAAATGATGTGCCGTGGCCTAATGGCGGTTTTGGGCTACTTTCAGATAAAAACTTTTTAACAAATTTATTTTATAAAATCTGATAATTTTTCCAAGTTTTACATCAGATGAGTTTATTTTTTATTTTTCAGTTGCTCATGCTCAGACAAACCAAACCAGCGAATTTTGACAAATAATTCATATTTATAAAAACTATTGTTTTTGATAATTTTAATTTACTCGTCCCCGGTTACGTTTTCAATATTTCCCTTGACGTTTTTTTTAAAAATAAGAACCGACTCTGAAAACATTTTTTATGTTGCATAACAGTTTTTCAAAGCAAGGACTGTAAACTTTAATTCTTCCCACTCTTGAATTGTAACAGAGTACCATCAATGAACCGTGGCAGCAATCTTTAAACCATTAATTATCAAAGTAACTTCGATGGAAATATTTTCGTTGTTTTATGAATAACCTTGCTTAGCAGCTAATGAATAAAGTAAAAATAGAAATGCATAAAATGGTTAGATACTTTTGTTCTAATTCTCCGCCATTGTTACTAAAATTGTTGGTTTAAAGTTGTGGTATCTCTGTGTTGCAGACTGCAGAGTCATTTTTAAAGCGAAGGATTATTAAATTTAAAGCGTATTTATTAAAGCACTTGAAGCTTGGAAATTGTTGCTGTTTTAAAAGATCTCGCCTTGACATCTTACAGCTGACGCCCGATGTACAGTACAGTGTACAGTGTACGTACTGCATAGTGAACAGTGTACAAAAATGACTCCCTGTTTCTGTACAGTATACATCACACCTGGTATTTACAATCGTGTACTCATACTCGTACTCTGAACACTGTACAGTTTACAATATTTGTTGCCCTAAAACGCATGTGGGAGTTTGAGCCTGGAATCTATTTGTTGAATTATGATAACATTTTGATTGTTAATATTTATTAAATAAGGCATTTATCAATTTTATTCTTTCAAATACATATATTGTCATGTTTATCTTGTTCTGTTAATAATTCTTCTTTCTTCCAAACCCTTATATTCTAGAGAGTAATTCATACATAATTTATAAGGTATTTATATTTCTGCTGTTTTAAATATTTGATCTGAAAATGTTTCAAAAATTTTCAATCATTCTCTTTTAAAAGTCTTGTTGAACACGATTATAGAAATTTTCTATGAGATAAAAATATTCATTGTGATTTGTAAGCATGTGTATTCATGGGTAATTCCAAAACAAAAGCAACATTTTTTGAAAATTATGGAAGTGACCATTTCCGATTTGGCTGAAATTTTATACACAACTTAATGTTCGAAAAAAACCTATTTTATTTTTTTTATTACGTTTAGTTATGTTAATTTTAAGTAAATTTAAAAATTTGAACTTTTTGTTAAAAACAAAACACAGAATTTACCAAATAAATTTTTTTCTCAAATGTTCAAGTTTTTGATCACAGGTCGCCCCATTTTAGCCAAATGATCAAATCGGAGATGGTCATTTCTGGAGGCTGTCGCTTTAGTATTGGAATGGCCCTAATAACCTATAACAATTATACTTCAATATTTGTTGATTTAAAAAAAGTGGATGAGTTTGAAATCTGTTTAAGAATCCTGGATGAAAAATGTCTCTAGATAATTTGGAAGGTTTGCTGAGAGTTGAAGAGAGAACTGTGTCAGGTCAGCAATAGTTCAAGGAATCTAGAGTGTGATTAACGATACCCTTTGAACCTTAGACTCTTAGTCTGAGAAACAATATTCAAAATATTCTTATTTTTCTTTCTTAAAAGTTGATAACTTACCCGAGAGCGTAGTCCAAGGGCGTAGTTACTGACCCGATGGTCATAAATAATCAATCCTTTGTAAAAAAAAAACTGTTAGTACGCAACAATTTTCACAAAATTCCGCCAATCCATAAACCTGCTTATGCAGGTTTTACTGCTCTTAACAATGAAATGTTTATTTCCCAGGAGGATTTGATTTGAAGTAAATACTCCCAAAATTTTTTTAAGGGTTTAATACTTTACTGTTATCGAGTTTTTGGGGTAAAGCTTTATTTTGATTTCGTAATTCTATTGATTTATATAAGGAAGTTTTTAGTTTGTTTATTGTAGTTGAAATGACTCGTACGTTTTGTTTGCTATATCCAGGACGGGAGAAGATATATTCTGCTATTGAAGAAGATGCCCGGGATATTCTTAGAAACCCAGTGTTTCAGGAATACTACACATCGAGAAACTATACTCATCAGGAACCATAGGATACTTTCTAGTAGTTTTAGTAAACCTTTAAAATACTCATCAGGAACCCTAGGATACTTTATAGTAGTTTTAATAAACCTATAAATATTCATCAGGAACCATAGGATAATTTCTAGTAGTTTTAGTAAACCTTTAAAATACTCATCAGAAACCATAAAATACTTTCTAGAGTTTTAGTAAACCTTTAAAATACTCATCAGGAACCATAGAATACTTTCTAGTAGTTTTAGTAAACCTTTAAAATACTCATCAGAAACCATAAAATACTTTCTAGAGTTTTAGTAAACCTTTAAAATACTCAGGAACCCTAGGATACTTTCTAGTAGTTTTAGTAAACCTTTAAAATACTCATCAGGAACCCTAGGATACTTTCTAGTAGTTTTAATAACCCTTTAAAAGGAATATGTTTAATTTAATAATGTCGTTCACTGGATATTATAAGAATTTGGTATATTATTAAGCACATGCCCAACCCTTAAAAATGCTTTTTTATTTCAAATCCTGAAATTACAGCGTTTTTTTTTTAATTTTTCGAAAGGGGGGCTAGCACCCCTGAACCCCCCACTCCAGTCCCTCAAAATATCTTATTTTGCCCCCCCCCTCACATAAGTGCTAGCTGCGCCACTGATCATATGCGTTTAGTATATGAATTATTATTAAAAAATATAATAGCTATGGTTAATCAAACAATGGATTCATTTAATTATTTAAAAAACAATTAGTAAATTAATTTTGCTCGTGCAAAAAATCAGTGCCATCCTCCTCTGAGTCCTGATTTATTAAGGTTATAATCTGTGTACTTTTAATCTCTCTTAGAAAAGAAGCTTAAACTTGCTACATCCCTTATTGCACAGATTACAAGGAATGGCCAAGATAGGAAATTTCTCATGGCCTTGTAACACAGATAGGGGAGGGGGGGATTACATTTTCTCATTTTAAAGCTTGTAGTCTCCATGTATTCAATAAGCTGGAAAATATAATTGTTATGACTTCTGGAACTTTCTGCATGATAAACGTTGAGCGTACATCTCTGATACCAGCCTTCACTGGGTACCTATGAGAGCAGATTAGATTGTTTTGAATCCAGAATTTCGTTCAGTAATTTCTACCCTTGAACCGTTTTCATTTGTCTATCAAACAATCTACTATAAAGAGTTGGTTCAGGAGTTGACGTGCATGGAGGTGTACAACCTGGGGAAAGAGTGCTTGAAGATCCAGATGGACAGGATGGGAATAACAGAGCATTTCTGGATCAACAATAACTCGGTTAGAAATTTAACGAAATATTTTTGAAAAACTTGAGGACAAAAAATCACCGACTGAAATAAATCCGAGTAGGTCATTTTGTGAAGCATAAAAATGTTCTAAAGATACTTGAATTTCGGGCGGTCGCTACCTTTAATCCTGGAGGGGGATAGGATAACATTTTTTATCACTTTCTTAAGTCAAAGTCAAAGAGATTTTTTAAGTTTGAATTTTGTAGACAAAAAAAATCAAGCTAAAATAATAACTATGTTTGATTATTATAGACTTAAGGAATCTTTTTATGTAGAGGGTTAGTTCTTAAATTTTATGTTAAATATTCTTATCCTTACAGATTTTCTAGGTCTTCTTTGATAAATTGACAGTTCTGTTGAGAAATATAGTCTCTTAAGATTACATTGGCAAATCTTTTGAACATTTATTTTTTTATTTTATTTTATTTTATTTTATTTTAGGCTGAAACAAACTTGAAGGATTTGAATCTAATAACATTGAGTCTCATCAGGAACTTACACAGGTTTACCTAAAATTATTTAAATTAAATTAAAAGATGATTTTTTTCCTTTATAATTTTTTTAGGGATGTTAATGTATTTGAAATGCTAAGCCTATGATTTCAGTTGAATATTTTAATCTTATTTTTTATTTAGAATTAAACTCGCTGAGAAGGGTAAATCTTTAACTAGTCGGAAATTGGAAGAAATATACAAGTCCCGTACTAAACAGAACAGTACAGTTGTACCGGAGCAGAACTGTGCAATCAAGGTGTGCCACTTAAGTCGTGAGTCTTTGTTGAAATGTAATAATACAACTACACAATTTTTGGGGAATTTCGTTCGTACAATTTTTCAGTAATATTGCTTTTAAAATAATCATATGAAATTTAAGGAGTTTACGTGAAGTAAACCTAATTTAATTCATAATTAATTCCAACTTCACTCCAAAATCATAATTTAAAGATGTGGTGGGGGTTGGAAGGAAACCAGAGGTCGTCTGATTTTCAAATGAAGACCCTTGGTTTTACCGGTTTTCAAATCAGCGGAGTTGCGCTAGGGATTAAAATAATGAAAAAAACAGCTGATATTTGGCGCCGAATTTGTAAACATTAACAGGATTAACAGAAAACTAATATTTTTATTACTACCAGAGTAATGAAGGGAATCTGCCACGATCAGTTCTTCCGTCCACCCAGAGCGGTAGGATTGGATCACTCCCGAACCCGGAGATATCATCAGTTCCGTCCAAGCTTCCAGAACCCATCGGAGCTAAAAAAGGAGGAGGATATAGCATTAAATCTAGGATATATCTTGTATCTCCAGATTGTTTTAACAAGTACAATGCTTGGGTTACATCGGGGAGGGAGAAAGTTATCAAGAATGATGAGACAAGGAACCACAGTGAAAAGGAGAAGGAAGAGATGGAGAATAAAGGAAATGATATAGTTGTGGAGAAGGTCAAGGAATTGACAAAGGCATTTACTGAAAAGAGTAAAGATGAAGTTACCGTGGATGAAGATAGTGGTTGGTCGGATGAGGATGAGGATTGTAACGCTACGCCAAAGATCAATATAAATCTTGTCCAATCTAGAAAGAAAACTGAATCCAATGATTCAGGGTTTTTATATGATGCCAAGTTAGATACTGCCACAGAAAATGGATCACAAATGGACTCATATTCGAACCATAAGGCTAGTGTCATTCCAAAACTCAAAGCGAAACCAATCGGTATATTTGAAAATGGATCAAATGTTGACCCATATTCTAACTACAAGGCTAGAGTTATTCCTAATCCCGACTCGAATCCAACTCTTTGGAGTAAAACTGATCCCAAGTTCACCTCTTTATCTGGGTCCTCATCTGAGCCCAGTTCCATGCCTCGAGTTAAATCTGATACCAATTCTAACTCCATGCATAATATTAAACCCAATACTGATCTCAACGACAACTCTGGATTGTTCTCCGATTCAAGCCCTAAACTAGGACTAAAAATTGAACCCAGCTTCGAGGCAGCCTCTGGGGACTCTGGGTCCAATGAGAGTAGAAATCCTGTTTCCAACTACGATCTAAAGAAGACTGAACCTTATCCGGTTGTTCCTCTCTGCCAATCCTCAGGCCAGCTAGAGCCAGAATCAGGTGAACTTTCTATTATTTAAAGCAGAGTAAAAACATTTATTAATTAAATTAGACTAGAATGGAGAAGGTGTGTGTGTTTGGGAGATTTGCCCCTAGTTCTTTTAACTTGACTTGATTTGTTATAATGTTAATGATAATGATAATGGATAATGGATAATCTAATAATTAATGGAATATTTATTAGCGAACAAATCCAAAATTATAATTTAAAAGCTAAAGAGCTAATGAATAGAATGTTTCAAGTACAAGATAAACTAGATACCAACTAGACTAAAGTTAATGCTCGGTAGACCGTGCAAGATATAAAATCAAATCTAAGTCCACTAAGTCAACAATCATTGGGTATGCTATAGTGGCAACATGACTCAAATTTGGTCGTGTGCTGTGATCTTTACCTGCTAAAGCACTACTTAACATGACATTAATTCGGGTTTCCTCTCACATAAACAGTATTCGTTAGACGATTATAGAGATTGGGCTGAAAACACCGGATGGGGGCAAAACTTGAAACTCAAACCTACATTTAGGAGCCTTAATCAATCCCTGCTAATATGATTTGATTTGAATTGAATAGATGAGGATGAGTTTGAACCGTCACTGAAGAATATCCCGGAGAACTTGAGTCTAGCGGTAATTCTTCTTATTCATTCATTTATTCATGATAAAACATAGATAAGTATTTTTAATTTGTCAACACCATTTCATTAACTCATTTTTTAGAATGGGGGGGGGGGGGTACTCTGATTAATAGCATTGAATTTGACTAACTCAACCATTGTCAAGGATGCCCTAAAGATACCAGCAGTCTGGAGAAAGATATACATGAAAGGGGAACCAGTTCCAAAAGCAAGGTTGGACATATTCATACCGTTTTGTTTAAACACTATTTGAAAAGTAAATAACCGATTAACATCTGTTGAATTTCGACGGCTAGTCTTGAAAGTTCCGTTTATCTGTTCAAAATTAAGATCATGATTAAGATCATGATTTAGCACTTGAAATGTACACTGAGCTGAGCTAATTTGATAAATGCATTACTTATCCCAAGAATGTAATGCAAGGAAAGTTAATTGCAGTTGCGTACACTCTGCGTACATGTTGAAACCAGTTCTCTCTGGGCGGAATTTGTAAACAATAATAGATGCATAATTGTTCGTTTAGTATCCGAGGAGGTTAAAAGCATTAAATTTTGATAATTTTGATAATTTTGATAATTCACATAATATTTTCCTATGACCAGAATATTTCATTGATTATTTATGTGAAAGATGGATCCCATGCCAGGCTTCGACATCCGTCTTGTGTTTACATTACCGCCCAGAGACAGTACACTGCAGTACAAAGATGCGTACACCTCTGAAATGACTTTCCTTGCATTACATCCTTGACTTATCCTTTCTTTGAATATAACATCTTTGAAATTATTTCATACATATTTGAAGAGATTACCGTACAAATAAAGAATCGTTGGGTTCTTCTGTTTCGCTCTGCAGGATATATATTTTCTCTAAAATCATCTTTGGACCTCCTTATTATAATATTCTTCGTCTGTTAAGGATTTTTATGCTTTTAAAGGAAACCACTGTGTGTGCCCGGTCAGTTTGAAGATCCTATAGCGCAGGACAGCACACAGATAAGTGACTGCTCTTGCAACAGGTGGAATTAGATTAATTATAATTTGTGTATAAAAAATTCGGTTTTATTTTGATCATTTAATGCTAATTAAAATCGAGATAATTAAAATAAATAGAACTTAAACTTAATTTTAATAAAAGTAGCAATGCAAGTCGTGGATAGTTCAACAATCTCTCTTTTTTTGATAAACTCCGAACTCTTAAATAAATTTGGTTTAATACTGAATGGGTTTTACCATTTCATTTTGACAACCGACGATCCATATTAGTTTGTTTATTGACAAGAATATTTTAGTAGACCCTCGGTAGTATAAGATAACGCCGGTAATACCTTTAAGGATATTGTATAGTAAAACTTGACCCTCGGTAGTATAAGATAACGCCGGCAATACCTTTAAGGATATTGTATAGTAAAACTTGACCCTCGCTATTATAAGATAACGCCGGTAATACCTTTAAGATGAATGATTAGTTTAATGGAATTTCCTTCTTAATATAATTTTGGTTAGATCGATCAGAATGATACACTGTGGACTTTGTGGATTTGCTGTTGAAGGTCGAATAAGAAAAGTGTGCTATCTACACTCAAGTAAGCTTTCATTATAAACAGTGAAATAGTATTTTTCTTTTAAAATCATCTCCCTGTGCCTCTCAATTCATACTTCCCTATTGTGTAAGAAAAGTTTTCTCCAAGTGCGAAAACAATTAAGAGTTTTTATCGTTAATTTTAACGATTGTAAAAAATGAATGTAAAAAATTTATCTTTCATATTTTTACCCTAAATGTAAACAAATATTTGTCTAGTAATGATATAACAATTAAATTTAAATCTTTTTGGTTTAGATGTGACCTATCTGCATGATTTCACTGCCTGTCCTAGCTGTAAAACCGGGCTGAACCACCTCAAGGAAAAGACATTTTATCTACCATACTTTGAGCTTGAATTAGAAAAATTATTACCGTAATATTTAAATTTTTCGTTGTAAAATTCTTAAAATGTGCTGAAATCCAGGAATATTGCTTGCCAAATCTTAACAAAACGAAACCTGAAGTAGGATCCGAGAAGAAAAGCTCCAACTCCCCGTCTTTTCTAATAAAAGCAAGATCTACTACCTCAACTATTCTGGATAAATCGGGATCCTGTACGCCAATTGTCTCACAGAAATCCAGCTCCGGTCCCCCAACTGTCGAAAAGAACCCTAGCTCATGTCCTTCAACTGTCTGCCAGAAAACCAAATCAGGATTTTCAGCTATTCAAGAGAAACCTAGATCTAGAGCTGGTCCTGGTAATTATCCGGACGAAAATATTCAGATAATCAGAAAGACGGGACCCCTGGTTAAATCGACAGTATATCCGCAGAAAGTTCCAACCCCTGAAGAACTCTGGGATCAGAGAATGAAGGAAAAGAATGAAAGAGCAAGATTGGCTTTTTTTGGCGATTCTCCAAGGTCCAACAAGAGTCAGAACAGGTCAGCTCGTCCCAATCCTAGCTCTGAATCTGTAAAATCAGTCCCGGGTAGAGTGGGGAGAAATATTGTTATGTAAACCAATTTTTAAATATCAAGTAATTGTAAGCTGTACCATTTGTACCAATAATAAATTCCAGTTTGTAACGCAAAATTTATTGATGCATATTTTGAAAAATCTTCATTTCTTTAGCAAAAATCATGTCTTTTGTAATCTTATTCTCTTTATTTTTGCATTTTTATTACAAATATATTTTTTTTACAGAAATAAAATGGATGAAAATGTTCCTGAGATAGTATGGAAGAAAAGGGTTGAGATAGAGCTGAATAAACTAACCGAGGAACCTAAAACAAAAACTGATCTCCTCAGGAAGTAAATAAACTTCCTTCTTTTTTTCAAATACAACCCATTAGGTTGAGAATCATTTTCTGTGACAATTCTTTAATTATTTTTCAAAGCAACAAAAATGTGAGGACACAAAATTATCGTGTTTGTTAGGTTCATGGGATTAAGCTTATAATAAATCTTTAATTATATTTAGTGCGTGGAGAAAGAATTTGGATTTAGTGGTAAAGGAGAAAACTCTGAACACGAAACCAGTTCTCTTTGACAGGGTATCTGGTTTTTAAACATACTTTCAAAATTAACAAAAGCTAGTCTACAACTGTTTTTTTTTTAAAGGGACTGTAAACTTTCTTTTAAGTTACTTTATACTTAAAGAGTTTCTTGCTTGATACAAAACAGTCCTTTACACCTTTTCGGGCTAAAGGAAGATATCGTCATTTTTCGTCACTGTCACATAAATCCGCAAGTTATTTTAAAGAGAAACCGCGAGTTTTTAACACTAAAACAAGAAGATCTTTGCAATTTTTGCTCAAATGAAGGTTTAAAGGGTACCATCTAAAAGCGGACAAGTTCATCTTCTAGATGGAGGAACATTTCAAATTGCGTTAACAGTCCCTTTAAAATAAAACTTCAACACATTTAAATATCTCTGATTAATATCTTAATAAAGGAATGGTTCCCTGCACCTCCTAAATCTGGAGGATCATCCAAATTATGTAAACTTACTTCTGGCTCTAAAGAGGTATATTTAACTTTCTCTCCGTTTTGCTTCCTATCGTCACATCTTATAAACTAGGTTTTGGACAAACTAATCATTTGATTCAATTTTAGTTTTATGTACCCAGAGCTGGGAACGAATAGTGGATATCAGGATTAATGCTTGATCCACTCTTTTTCTTAATCTCCAAGTTAAATTAAGCTTGTTCTCTTCTTGTTTTTAATCTCCAGATTCCGATGGGGATTAAGGATATCCCATTCTAAAGTTTTCAGCTCAGGCTTTATGGAAATTATGTTATTCCATCCGTTGAACAAGGTTACCCGCAAAGAAATAGACTTATATTTTCGGTATAAAACTCGATAAATATATTCATAGCTCTGAAGGTTGAATTTGATCTTTCAGCCCCGAAGTATACAGAGATGGAATTTAAAGAATTTGAGCCGCGGTTTAAATTCGGCCACTGGATAATCAAGCAAAAAGAAACTAAAAGTTAAACTGTGGAAAAGCATGAATGTGATAAAAATTACTGATTAAATTCCTCACAGTATCTAAATAGAATAAAATTATTAAAGTCAAACTTAATCGATTCACAGTTAAATGAGTTTAAATTTTAGCCAATCTTTTATTTAAACCTTTGATGGGCATAATTCTAAAAAAGTTAGCCGCGTACGCTTACAACATGGTAACAATTAAAAAACAATTTGGACACACAAAAGATATTTTTTATTTATCGTTAAACAGCTATTCAATCATATTTTAATATACATATTGAGAATAAAGTAAAACTACTGTTACTGATCCCTAGCCTTGAATAAATCCAACTGTATTAATTAGTTCTCCTGGCTGCCAGTCTGCTGGAACTCCAACCCCCTGACTGTTTGCGTCTAGCTCATGGAGAGCCTGAACATGCCTTAGTTGTTCTTCCATATTGAGACCTACAGGGAGGTCAGATTTTTCAATGCTGACAAGGTTACCCTCTGTATCAAGTAGAGCAGTACACCGGAAAGCAACATTATCAAGGTGCTTGTAAACACCGTATGCTCTACAGACGTCTCCTTTTGTGTCGGATAGCATGCGAACGTCCTTTATCTTACCCAGACCGGCATCAGATTTTGGAGCATCCCACCAGCCTCGCATCCCGTCTAAATGCTCTGTAGAGATTGCCAAAACCTCACAATTTAATTCCTTGAATCTGGGCATCAGGGATTCCAGATGATAGAATTCGGTCGGTGTCACGTACCCAAAATCCACAGGATAGAATATAATAAGTACATATTTTCCTCTGTGAGACGACAGAGTAAATTCTTCAATAGTCCCTCCATTAATGAAGGAAGGAAGAGTAAAATCTTCGGCTGAACTTCCTGGTAGCATTTTGAAACTGATTTTAAAATTGAATTTCGCGGATTTCATTCTTATGATTTTGCGAAGTTTTAAAACCCGAACCCGTCCTTTACTCGAAAAGGTGACATTGTTCATTGATTCATCGAGTGTATAAATAATATTGATTTTAAATCTAGGTGGTGGATCAGATTCGAATCCTGGAGATACCAGCAGTTAGTCCGATACCTACTCTAAGTACCTGGGTTCCTATTCAACGGAATATTCTTCCAGGTATAACACAAATAATGAACATTTGTTTTACTTTTCTCATTCTCAAAGTAGGGTTATTAAATAAGGAAAAATTGGGTGCAATAACCTTTTTTATGCTTTAGATAAAGAGACGCCGACAAATATTCCGTATTTCGGCGACGAAGTAATTGAGAAAGACACACACTTCATCGAGAGTATGGTTGAGGAGGTTTACTTGGTGAACCAGGAGGAGGAGGAGAAGTTCAACCTCACGGACGACGTGTTCATGAAGCTCATCGCGGCGGTTAACAGTTACAGAGAAGAAGGTCTATTTAGCTCAACAAATACATATATATATATATATATATATTTTACTCGATGGCGATTTTCTCTTCTTTCCCCCCTCTTCCTCCTTTTTATTAAAACCCTTTCTGAGTTTAGATCCTCGTCCTGGTTTGGTTCTCCACCACCCCGGATCAAATGCTGAGATGGATTACTATTCAGAATCTCAGAAGAATATCAAACTTCCGGGTCTTATCGTCTTTCAGGTAATTTCCGTTCTTCATTAAGAAGATTAGGCAAGGAATTTCTGGATAATAGGAGTATTCAGATACTATCGGATACCGCAGCATTTAGATAACGAAGGTTTAAGGGGTTTTCATAAAATGAGAGAATGATATATAAATATATAAAAAAAAAATAATATGAAAAAGCGTTAACTTTTTGTCGAAATTAAATTTAAGGATAGGTGAACTCATTAATTTGTTTTAAAGTGATATAAACCCCTGTTTTAGGCAGTTGAATTGCAGTTCCCTGAGCTGGGTTCAGTACAGGAACTAATCTCAAGGTTTAAAATGCTCAGGGAAGGATCAGATCGGGAACATTTTGCTCCCAACATAGACTCAGAACAGGCTGGTGACTTAAGGTCAGTGGTTTTGTTATTGACAATATTAATCATCGACATGTAAAAATATTTGATCTTTAAAAAATTATTTTTCAGCGCTGAGGAGACCTTACATTCGTACAAATCTCTTCTTTGTCGGTAAGATAACTAATAACTATACAGAGTGTCCCATATCATATCTGCTGCAGGAAAATTTTAATAATAATTAGCCTTATACAGTTTTTTAAATGATTCATTCTTCTTGAATTTTCTGATTTAAAGGATTAAAACGAGGTTTAAACGATGTAATATGATGTGGGACACCCTGTACATAAATTATTCAATAATTATAATATTTGCACAGCGTTCGATCAACGATGTGTACTTTGTTTGAAATCATCTAAAATCTTCAGGAGATGTTTCCTGTTCGATTGTCCTCTTCATAGAGACGATCCTGTTCTAGAATCTCCGATCCAACGTCCTCACACAAGGTGAAAAACTGGTTCTTAACCCAATTTTACGTGAAGTGGCATGTCCGATTTACAATTGAGGAACAATGAGGAAGATATTGTCGTTTTAATTTGGAAAGAGTTTAATTATGATAATTTCTTTCACAAATTGGAAAATCTTTTTTATATAGAAACCACAATTGTGGGTATTTAATTTTTTAGAGAATGTCTCATTCATCCGTGATCAGAAAAAGGTTGAAAGGGTAACATGGTGAATCAGACATCCCACTCTTTATGGATTACTTGAAATTACGTTTGCAGTTCCCTTAAATATTTTTGAAATCAGAACTTCAGTTTTCCATTAATTAGTGAAATCAGCTTGAAGGAAAAATTTAAATAGTTTCAATAAAGATAAAACGTTTAAGGGATGTTCCTTTGTCAACTGAACCATGCAGCTCAAGATGCTACCTTAACAATCCGGGACATACAGCTCTTCTTTCTCCAAGGTAATATTTCATTTCTTTAAAAAAGAGGAAAAGGTGGGCTTCTTTGGTTTCATTAGAACTCTGGCAATTTGATTCCAGGGGCGTAGTCAGTAATTTGTCCAGGGGGGGGGGTTCCCCCTCCTCCTGATTATGCCTCTGAATTTGACCCTTCTTCAATTATAAGAAATCATTAATTGATTGTCAAGAAATATTTTGATATTAGGATTCAGCAGGCAGTTTAATTCAATTTGTCTGACTTGATACGGTATGTATTGTACGTACAATGTACATTCTCATTGTACAGGTGGTTTCTTCTTCTCTGCTCTCATCTTTCAGCTCTAACTCACCTTATTCCGGAGTCAGCTTAAACTTTCCCGTTATATAGCTTCAGATCTAGTTTCTTATGTTTTTTATGTATATTCTAGAACCCCTATGGTAAACAAGTTGAAGGGGAATAAATCATCTCCAAGTCTGTATGATGAGGGTAGAGCGGAGAGAGTTGCAAATCTTCTCAACCCATCTGGGACCCAGGTTAGAAAGAAGAAATTTTTGTGTAGAATATTAGTGTATAAGTTAATGGAAATGATGTCTGATTTCGAAATTGAAATAATTTTTAATTTTTTGAAATTTTGTCGAAATTAAATTTAAATCTATCTACAAGTCTTTATCTTGTTATATTAAAGCCCTCTGGGAAACATCAATCACCTTTCAAGACTTGATTGACAATTTGTAACTTGATAAGTGTGGTTTAATATGGCAACATGGCTTAAATTTGATCGTTTGATGGAACCTATTTAAACAATGTTATAGTGAGGACTTGAAACTCCAAGCTAAAACCCAATTTCTTAAACATGCTACAAACATAGAGCGTTACCATAGTGTGAATATGGTTCTAAGACTAAGAAATTGGGCTTAAAACCTGAAAGCTGTTGACTAAAATCTCCACATTATGAACAGATTATGTTAAATGAAATAAGACATGTATATAATTAAGCAACCCAACCGTTACAGGGGATATTAGTTCCAAAACTAACACTTGGCCCATTTCTAACACTGAGTGTTAGAAATGGGCCAAATCTGCAAACTTATCTTTTTCAAGAGCATTTATCTTTAAATCCAAGTCGAGTAGAACAAAATTACGCCATATATTTATAAAAAACGGCTAAAACTATATATTGAAACAATAAATGTCAATTTTAAACTCATAATAAGGTGTGCGAATTAGTTTTTGATGATTCTTGATTTCATTTTCGAACATATCCCTATTTTGAAACAACTACTGGAATTCATCTCATGTCGCGTTTTCGGAACATATCCTGGTTTTGAGACAATTACCGGATTTCAGCTCAAGTCGCATCCTGGTTTTGAGACAATTACCGGAATTCATATCAATGTCAATTTTCAAGTATTTACGCACTTATGAAACAAAACAAGATTGTTTGATAAGTTAAAATATAAACAAAAAAGAAAATAAAAACAAACTGTTTTTTATAATTTAAAAATCATTACAGCATTTAGAAATCAAAATATTAATATCATTTGTTCTTACAATATATATTTAACTAGAAATGCGGGAAACTGTGTTTAAAATGTTTGAAAATAAATCATCCATATTCTCTAATTTAACAGATAAAACGTGGAAACTTAGATTCTAGAAATAATTCAGAAGTTAATTTAGTATTCATAAGATAATTTTTGTTTTCAATGATTTATTTTGTAAGTTACAAAAATGAGTTTTGTTTTGAATTGTGGATTATACTCAAAAACGGGAAAGTGGGTTTTGTCCCGAAAACGCGACAATGTTTCAAATTAAGGATATGTTCGAAAATGGGAAACCTAACCTTGTCTTGAAAACGGTCAAGAGATTTAATGTAAAAAGAACTCCTATTATAATTTTGATTTGTAAAAAAAGTTTAAAATTGGGAATTGTTGTCCTCGTCATGTTCAATAAAATTTTGGTTATAGTTTTTATTATCGACTTTTTCTGGATATGGGCCGGGATCCAAAAAACCCATTCTTTCAATTTGTGCCCATTTCTAACACTCAGTGTTAGAAACGGGCCAAGTGTTAGTTTTGGAACTAATGTCCCCTGCATCAACTGATTTAATCTGAAATTTTCTTAACTAATTTAATTGTTGATAGACTGACGTCTGGACAAATGCAGAGAAGAGTTTGTTTCGTGTTCTAATTCTTTCCTTCCCGGGGAACTTCTGCGCTATTGCTCAGGTAGAAAAACAAGAACGTTCTTTAGAACTTTTTAAAGAAATTCTCAGTGGAAACTTTTAATTTGAAGTTAAATCCGTCTAAAAACAACTGATTCAATTTTTTGCGACAACTTATTGGCCGAGCACAGATTTGTCGTGGCTCCTTTGTCGGCGATTGAGATATTCTACAGGAATGAACTTAATCCGTCGTTCAGCATATGATACGGATTAGTGCTAAAGAGATTACCAATATACAAGTTGAGATCTTGGTTCTATAAATGAATGGTTTGTTAGTAAATTCTAGAAATAGATTAATGCAGAAAAAAGTAAAACTACTTTTAATATCATCAATTATTTTATGTTAAACTACCTTGGTAACCCAGCTTTGCGTAGAGTTTTCATTATAATAGTAAACCCACTGAATTAAATATTTTTAAATCAGACTAAGAACTTGGTGCTGGTCCGTGGTTATACTGAGTTCACAAATAAAAACAGACAAACAGAGATTGCTACATTATATGTATAAATGAACTGTACTTTTTGTTAGATAATGGCGACTAAGAAGTGCAACCAGGTGTTCGAGTTCTCTGTCCAGGAAGGGAAAACGAGCAGAGGAGAGAGGAAGATGCGTAATCTCAAGGTGAAATATTCAAGGATACAAGGACTTTTTCTCTTTTGTTGTTTACTGGTTAATCGTGAATAGAATACAATCGTTTTGTAGTAAAAGAATTGATTATCCTATTTTCCCCCTTTTCTTGTGTTCTTTCGATTTTTGTACGTCCCTCTTCCCTCTTAATTATTAACCTTGGTCTGGGTATATATAGTCTTAATGAATCAGGCGAGGAAGTTTG